ATTTAAGATCTCCTTCCTTAACTCACAGTCATTAAGTTGTTCACTTATATTCACTTCTCTGGCATTTAATACTTTAGTTTTTCATAATTTAGTCTCCCATTCAAGTATGAAGTAGGGATCTGATTTTATGTGTTCCAGCATGTTAAATGTTACCATTTAACAAACAATCCCTCCCCTCCCCATCAACCTGCTGTGCCTGCTCTATCCTAGATCAAATTTTCATACATGCATGGGTCTGTTTCTGAGCTGGTGTATGCATTAATATCATTTTCTGCCCTTAAAACTGGCTCCTTATATCTTAATTATAGCTTTCTAAGAAGATTTATGTCTGCTAACACAGGAACTCTCCCCTGTACACAAATCCCGATCTTTTTGTTTTCCAAACTTGACCTAATGTAAGCCTAGATTTTGTGCAGAGGAATGACAAGCTCTGACTCACCTTTTTAAAAAGGACCACACATGCTGTTTTGCAAAGAATAGTAATTAATGATGTCAGAGATAGAAGAAAGACTTGTTAGAGCCATGTCCTTACGTAGATGAAAAGGGAGGGGCATCCCGTGGAAACAGGAGGGATTAGCTTTGGAGAGCAACACACAAAGTCCAGCTGTGGGAATAATGCAGAGTAGAGAAGTGCAGATGCTAACAGGTGTGCAGTGCATGTCTGGGAAATTTCTACTGATTGCTCTGACCTCAGTGAAGTCATTAGCAAAGAGGGAGAATGAAAAATCAGTCGGTGAAGGCGCTGAAGAAAAGGGATAAGGTAGAGAATCATTTTTTAGAAGAACAGGAGAACACTTGGAGCCCCTTTAGTTTAGTGAAACCAGTCTACATGGCTGTGTGTTTTCTCCCAGCCACATGCACTTGCAGAAAGCTGGACTTAAATAGAATTCTGGTTTTGCTAATCGAGTAAGTAAAGGAAAAGATAGCTGAAGGTACAGATATACAACCACCATTGTTAATTCCCTACCACTTTGTTTGTAACTCTGTATTGTCTGTATTGTGCTTGTGATATGTTGTAAAATGTTGTATGTCTGTTAATGTTTCCCTCCTTTTATCCTTAAAATTAAAAAAAATAAAATAAAATAAAATAAAATGAGGTTCTGTTCCAATAAACTCATGACAGATTGAGATATCATAAAACATGGTATACATCTGTAATCCTAGCACTCTGGGAGGCTGAGGCAGGATGGCCATAAATTCAAGCCCAGCCTGGGCAAGCTAGCAACTTAGTGAGACTCTATTTCAAATAATTTTTAACAATTAAAAAGGTCAGGGGTGCAGCTGAGGATGAAGGCTCTGGGTTTAATTCCTCATATGGCCAGACAAATTTTTTCTATTGAATGCATATTGTTTTTACACCACTAGAAAGCCAGAATTACAATGGTAAGCTTTTATTACAATGGAGGGATGACATGGGAGTGAGGAGCTGTGCAAACTGGAGGAACCAGAGTGTTGGAAGAGTTGCTGGGGTCAGAGTACCAGAGGAAGAGACAGGAAAATGAGAAATGGGAAAGGGAATGGGACACGTGAAATTGTAATCATGAAAGGGCTGCACTTCTTGGTAATTTCGAGGTCAACACTGTGAGAAGTGTTCTTCACAGCACACAGCTTTGTGGTCACCCAGAACTCTGCACTTGGTGTGACCATCACAAAAGTTTTAATTTTCTTTTAAACAAGGAGTCCTATACTTTCATCTCACCCTGGGCCCTACAATTATGTAACCAGCGCTGGTTACAAGCATGGGAGTGTGTGGCTGAGGTAGGAGGAGGACAAGATCATCGGAGGAGAGGAATTCAAGGAATGGAGAAGTTGGTGTGTTGGAAATCAGTGTGTGAACTGAAACTGCCAAGGAGTTAGACAAGAATTATTATTGGAGATAGCAACAGTGAGTTAGGAGCTAAAGCTTGGAAAGATGTACAGCAATAACCCAGGGGTCAGAGGATGTTAGCAGCAGGTGTAGTAGGTGAAATAATCTAGCAGCACGAGACCCAAAGCTGAGAATTCAGAGAAGGAAAGAAGCAGCACAGAATATTCTTAAGAGCAGGGACATGCAGATAGAAGGCAGTGAGGTGAAGAACCAGCCTTTTAGGGAGGTGCAGGGGAAGCAGTGTCCTGGAGAGGGCAGATTTCCTTGAGAGCAGTAAAGGGGGGGAGGGGTTCAAAGAACCGTTATGGTTGATACATTGTGTTAACTTGGAGAGTCTAGAGGTTTGGCTAAGTGACTCAGCAGTTGTGCATCTTGGGGTAAGAAGGATATGCCCTTACCCTTCTGGGATGTTATTTATTGTGTCAATTTGAGAAGTTTAATTATGTGACTCACCAGGGGCCAGGTGCTTACTTTGTATTCATCCTGAGCCTGTGCAAGAGGAGGGCATGGAGATTATGTGAGCACTATATGCCCCCGGGTGGGGATAGCTTTCTTACAATATAAGGAAGGGAAAGAGGCTTGCTCCTCTCTGCCACTCCTCTCTTTTGTTGCTGTGCTATCTTTGACCACCATGAATGTTTGCCCTCTCCATGTGCCACTCTGCCTCGGAGTCAGCCAAGTATGGACTGAAACCTCCACAAACTGCAAGCTACATAAATTTTTCCTTCCTTAATTTTGGGCTTTGGGTATTTTGTCTTAGCAATGAGAGAAAAGTAACCAAGACAAGAACAGTTTGAAGATACAGGCTGTTTTGATGATGGTAGAACTTAAGGTCCAGGGAGCCCAGTTGAAAGATTTTCGATATGACTATGGTATTATTAGGTGAACATAAAACCCAACCTAGGTTGTATGGAATCTTGTGGGATTAGGATGCAAGAGATAAGGATGACTTGCCAGAGTAGGGGTTCTGGTAATGACAGGCAAACAAGAATAAGAGCAAAATAAAATGAGCTCAAAGAATTCAAGGAAGAAAGAGTGGAGACAAGGCTGCGAGTGCTGGGGTGGAGAGGGGCTCTCTTGTCGTCACCAGTGGTGACAGAGGTAGAGGCCTATGGAAATGTGGTCTTCATGAACATTGAAAAAAAATCATATTTATTCTTAAAATTTTATAAATGACACATATGAAATAATTATTAGAAAAGGCATTAAAAATAAGTTTTATGTTTACCCAATTATACCATAGTCATATGTCTCTGTCTTTCTTGATGCCATACAAAATGTCTTAGATTGGATAATTTAGAAATAATGGAAATGTATTTCTCATAGTTCTAGGGGCTGGAAAGTCTTAGCTCAAGGCACCAGCAGGTTCAGTCTCTGGTAAGGGTTCACCCTCTGCCTCCAAGATAGCGCTGTATCCTCTGCAAGGAACAAATGCCATGTCTTTACATGGCAGAATGGATCTAACGATCAGGCAGATATTGGGAGCCTTTTTTTAAAATTTAAAATAAGGACATTAATCTCATTCATGAGCACGGAGCCATTATACATTACTTTCCAAAAAGCCCTACTTCTCAATATTTCCACAGTGGAAATTAGATTTCAACATGAATTTTGGAGGGACATAAAAATTCAAAGCATAGCATCACATAATTTAGATACTAATCTCATGGCTCTGTAATCTCTTATAATACTTTTTGGTAAACATTCCAAAATAAATGCATATAGATATCACAAGTTTAACAAGTCATTTTCTTATGAATCCTTCCTGTAATGTGGCTTGTTATTTCATTTTAAATACTTTGCAAAAAAAAAAGATCATATCTGAGCCATGTCTGTCTTTATAGCACGGAGTAAATGGCTTTTGGAGTAAAAGGCTAGAGTAAAAAGCTGACATAGCTCCTCTACTTGTTTTAGTCTTTCATGTTCCTCTTGTGAGGATTTTCTGAGGCTTATATAACTTTAATTAATATTAATATATATATAACTTTAATGTACATAACTTTATAACTTTTAATGTAATTAAAATAAATGCATTTATTTAAGAATTTAACATAGGCTCTAGGATAGTTCTGTTGAAAACAATACAACCAACCAATGTATAGCTTTTGTTTGGATCCCAATTTGAGCAATAGTTCTTTAAAAACATATCCAAACTGTGGAATAATTTAATTTACCCCATGTGGGCGAGGACTCATATAAAACATTTTGTTGCTTACCAAATAGTTTAGGGATACCTGTTGTCTTATTCTTGCTCCAGGAAACCCCATATGAAGAACTGGGATTTGAAGCCAGTTGCCAAAGCCTGTGGACAGTTGGTGATGAAATCTCCTGAGAAGTGGTACCCAGACCTTAAAGCTGGCTTACCAAACTGTCCTGAAGATTAGTCCCTTTGATTCTTTGGCATAGGTGCCAGGGGTAGGGTAGGAGCAACAAACAGAGTTTGAACCTCATGTTAATGTCATTGAGTCTCACTCCACATCCTGCTATTGCTGTAAAATCAGAATATATCCAGCACTCGATAAGAGACATTTAACACACACATTTTTCTCCCAGAAAGCTATTGTTAAGTGGATAATGTGCCTTATGTTTAACTGATGAGATCTTGAAATTGAAGAATTGTGCAATTTATGATACCTCTTGCTTTGAAAATTTCTAGACTAGGTTTGCTATTTAAATTATGATTAGAAGATTGAGTCCAGGGCTCCTGTTCCAATAAGGACCAAGACACAATCTATCATTTGCTTGGACAAAATTAGCAGTATTTCCTTTTAGTTATACTATCTCTAATACAATCAGGAGAAAGTCATCTACCCAACAGCAAAGGCATGGCTCTGTGGTGCTTTGTACATTTTAGCAATTGATGTTGAAGTGAAAGAATCAGACAAACATTCATGTCAAGACCATGGAATTCCCTCTCCTTATCCTCTTCTCTAGAGTTCAGACTGCCGTCTCCTCAATAAATCTTGCCATTTTAAAGCCCCTCTTTCTTTTAAATTCCCATGGGTGAGAGGGCCTGAAACCGATCATTTTCTTTTGGGATCCAAGATTGATGAAGGCATATAAAATGTAATGTAAGGTGCTGCCTGGACTTGTGTACGAGAACATTATGATTCACAGAGTAATCTTTCCACAGGTTTAACAATTGTGTCTACACGTACCGAATCTTCAGAGAAAAATATGGGTATTTCAAGATACAGGTAAGAAAATAGAAGGGCCCCTCCCTCAACAATACAAAGATTAGGAGAAGAGACCCTGAGATCATTGCTTCTAAAAGGGCAGCACCACATAGAATAAGGAGCCAGATCGATAGTTATCTTTGTCTTTCTTGAGAGAACTAGAAAGGTATCAGATTTGGGTTCCACATTTGAATAACCCTGGCTATTATTCTATAGTGCAGAAGCACAGAACTCTACTGCCTCTACTGGTTAACTATACTAACCTGCAGTCCATTCAAACTATTGTTAAATTAGAAAACTAAGCTAGGCATCTGGTGCATACCTGTAATCCCAGTTACTCAGGAGGCTGAAGCAGGAGATTTGCAAGTTCTAAGTGAGATCTGTTCTCAAAATAAAACAAAAAACATAAAAATTTTTAAACAGTTGGGGGTGTAACTTAGTAGTCCCTGTGTTCAGTCCTGAGTAGTGGCAGTATCATAGCAAATGAGTTTTATCTGAGGTGCGATTATTGCTAATTGAAAACTGAGGGGCTGGGGATTTAGCTCAGCGGCAAAAGCGCCTGCCTGATAAGCACAAGGTCGTGAGTTCGGTTCCCGGTACCGGAGAAAAACCAAAAAAAAAAAAAAAAAAAAACTGAGTAGTGGGAGAGAAAAGTAAAGGGAGAGCGAGAGCAGGGTGGGGGCAATGATGCAGAATGGAGGTGGGAAGGGAAGTTGGGAGAGGTATGAATGTTCAGAAATTTAAACGTATTCCATAGTTATAAAGGGCATATCAGATACTGCAAGCATTAGAGTGTTATTTCATTTGTCTGGTTTGCTGAGAGATGAACAGAAAATCTTTTTGCTTCTCTTGTATTTAGTTATTTAGCTTAAGAAAGCACATAAAGCATAATAGAATTTTTAGTTACTAACAAAGAATCTTGACAATCTTTCCCAAAAAACTTATATACAAACTCCAGTTAACTACAATATTTCTCAGAATCTACAATATACTTGAGTGCACCATGAATATCTGAATGAGAACAGACTATTGAGTGATTTCCAAACAATTAAAATTTGTATAAGACTAGCAAATAGTACTGGATTAGGTTAATTTCCTGCACTTAGACATTGTAGTGTTGGTAGGTAATACCTTTACTTTTAGAGAATACTAAAGTGGCTTAGAGTTAGAGGGGTATCATGTCTGCAATTTAACTCTAAAATATTTTTTAAAAGAATATGTATATAATATGTATACACACACACACATATATATTTAAAAGAAGAGAATAAAAGGCAAATGTAAGATGTTAATATTTAGGGTGTGGGTGGAGAATACATATACGAATTTTGTTGCTTAATAGTTTCACAACTTTTTTGTGTCTGAGGTTATTTCAAAGTAAAATGTCTTCTAAAATGCAACTTTTCTTTCTTCACTTGCATACACCAGGAAATTTTGAATAATTCCTCAGTCCCCTCTTTTGTCTCTTGTCTGGACAGAGAGGCCTGTACAACAGTTCTAACTCAGACACAAAGGAGCATTTTACTAGGGGTGTTTGGTGAAAGTGACCACATAAAAGGACCAACTCCCACGTCAGCTCACATCACCATCACAGAGGTTGACCAAGGTGAATGTCAGAAAGCTTCTGGTCACCGCCTGACATGGCAGCCATGTGAGAACCACAGTGATGATCAAGGAAGCCATCTTGTTTTTAAATTATGTCTGTAAGATTGTATCAGACAGTAGCAGTGGACCTCTAGCTGGCAGAGAGAAAACAACTGTTTGCAGTTTAATTGGGTCATGTTAATGTTTCCAATTTGAATTTTTTTCTTACCTTTGTTTTCTTTTTTGACAGAGAGGGTCTCGTATATAACCCAGGCTGGCTTCAAACTCTCAACGATCTGCCTATCTCAGCCTCTCCAGTGCTGAGATTACAGGTGTGCACCACCACACCTGACTCCTACTTGCAATTTAAATTGGGACCTTTTTTGGCCTCATTTTTCTCACATGGAGATTCCGAATTCCTTGGACATGTACAGTGTACATCTTGCATTTCACATCAGATGTCCACCTCTGCTAGTCCCCCCTCAACAGCAATGCCTGGCAGCATGCCCCAGAATCTGACAGGAACTCTTAGAGGGGGGGCCCTTTAGGGTGTATCCAGAACAAGAACAAACTTGCCAAGGACTGGGCTCACTTCCACACTGCAGATTAGGTTGAGACCCTTTGACCGGAAGTCCTCACTACTAATATAGTTCAAGTCAGGATTTGGCCTTAAAAATAGAGAATTTCTGGCCAGGGTCATGAACAAGATCCTGTTTCAAAATAAATAATGAAACAAGGGTTAGGGATGTAACTCAACATAATGGCCCAGGGTGGTTCAGTCTCCAGTACCGCAAAACAAGTGTTGCTGCCATTGGCAGCTGGTATGTGCTCTTCTGCATGAGCTGCTGTGTTATGGTTTGTGTCTGGGTGTCCCCCCAAAGCCTCATGCGGTCATGGGGCAGGCTTTTAGACTTTGATTGATAATGGGTGTGAGAGCTGCACCGCCCTGGGGTGGATAGTTTGCATATGTAAGGGAGAGCAAGAGGCTGCTTGCGGCCATTCCTGGCTTTTAGTACTTGTTGCTTTTGCTGTGTTCTGCCACCATGAGCTACTCTGCCTTGTAACCTGCCAAGTATGGACTAAAACCTCCACAAAATGTAAGTGAAATAAACCTTTCCTTCCTTAATTTTGGGTGTCGGGTATTTTGTCCCAAGAGAAAAGTAACCAAGACATGCTGGCCTCTTGTTTTCAGTTAGTCAAGCCAGAAGTAATCCTGAAAGCCACCATCTGAAGAAGCGTCATATTTCACACACAACTGCATGATGCCGAGTGACCCCTTTTCTTATATTTTTGCAGAATGCAGACAGTGCTCGAAAACTGATCTTTCCAACCCTGGAGGAACTGGTCTCCAAATTTGAAAAACCAGGTCAAGGACTGGTGGTCCACCTTTCAAAGCCAATAAAGAGAAGATCACAACTAGCCACGGATAATGTTTATGGTAAAAGCATTCAGAAAGGAACCTCAATCCCAATTCCACCAATGGCTTTCCTTGCAGAATCAATACAAATAGATACCCTTTTCTATGACATTATTTCTGAAGAGAGTCGTACTAAGACAATTTCCATTTTGTTGATAAATAGTGTTGCAGCCCCCAAAGGTAACCAAGACAGAGAGCTGTCTGATTTTGGACTACCAGGGAAGCAAAAGTGGTTCTTAGGTAAAGAGATGACTTCACTCTCCGACCTTGTACAAATCACTCAAGTCTGGGAATAAATAGATCCATGGGCAGATTTTTAAGTGAGAACACCAATTCAACTCTCTCCTTAAGGTTTATTCTATTACAGTTTGCTCAATATTTGCTAAGCATTCATCTGTAAAACAATAGGTGAAAAATTATTTCAGACACATCCCTAAAGGTATGAAGCCATAAAGCAGAATGAGAGATGGTCAGGAAATCTGAGGGCAGGCAATCTATGCCGACAACTATCAATTCCTATCACAGGCAGCTACTCTTGACTAGCCTTACCCTTGAAATCTGCTTTCAGAAAAGAATCTAGTAGGTGTCAGTGGAAATGTAGTGTGACTTGAACTTGGACTTCCGGAGATGTTTATGGTTTAATCCTGATCTTCCATGGTGAAATATGTGGCTGCATTTCCAGTGAAAGGGACTGCAGCTGTTGCTGATGGGCAGGTGATGGTGATTAGAGCAGATGTGCTAAGTAGGGAGGACGGAGGACAGAGAGCTCTTGGGGAGCCTTAGTCACTTCACATCCGTTCTAGGTGAAGTCCTTCTTTGGACTACCCATCAGGTTTCTCACCTCCCCTAACAAAACTAAGCATGGAGTGTCAATGCTTAAAATACCCACCAGCCCGCCATTGTTTGTCTGTCCCCGCAGTGCCATGCAGGAGTGTGTGCTCACTGGTGCCAATCAACTGGGTTCAGCCACAGCTGTATCCTGTACTCTGTAGCTATTTTGCTGTAAAAAGCATAAAAGATGGCAAAGCTAGAAACCCAAGGAATGCACCTGTGCTGTGGCCCCTGGGCAAATTCAGATGAGTTGCTGGGGTGAGCAGGGTGGTGGCAATGTTTGCACAAGCAATGATAAAATAATCACAAATCCCGAGAGGAGAAAGACCCCCTCAGAGACCATTCCAGGACCTGGGAGAGGGTCTTCCCACACAGCTTCTCCATGCTTAGTCAGCACTGGTAGGGCAAGCCTCCAATACTCACCCGCAAATAGGGAAATAGCCTCCCATCAACCCACCTTCCTCCCCTTCGCCTCCTTAGAACAATGTTCAGGTGCTCTTACTCCGGACAAGGCATAGGTTTCCTGCTGGTGCTGGAAACTCTGAGACATAGCTCAGAAAAGAATCTTCTCCAGGAAAGCCTTTGCCAGTGTCACTTGGATGGAGTGGTAGCGCTTTGATGTGGCATCAAGATGGCTCTGTGCCCTAGTCTTCTTTCCCTTGAGTAGGGTCATTGATGTGACTTCTGGGTGTGGAGACTCACTGCTGATCTCTGCTTTCTCCCACAGAGAATAGTGACGATTATGTGGATGTCTTGCCTTGATGATAAGGAGACTGGACAAAGCCAGTGACAGAAGAAACGGGGCCCCCCTCTCACTGGTGATACAGTTCTCCTGCAAGTGCAAGTCTGGCATGCCAAACCATAGTGGACAATTGAGACTCTCCTGGTTTGATTCACTGAAGATCTTCTGTCTCCCGGCCACATCCCCACCTCCCAGGCACTCAGCACAAGTTCCAGAGCCCTTCTGCACTTCTTCCTCTTCTTTCTTGGAGTGAGACAGCTTGAACCTGTGTCTCTGGCTGCTTAAAGGTACCACCGTTACATCATGGTCAGCACCCTCTTTCCAACAGGTAGAGGGGCCGTTTCAGACAGAGGAAAGAGCACTTAGCAATGAGTTCAGAGCCCTAAGTTCCAGCCCAGAGGCTCGGTGACTTTGAACAAATCTCTCCCTTTATCTAGGGCTCAGTGTCTTCATCTATAAAGCAAGTGATTGGGTGGAGTGATACACACTGCTCTACTCTCTCTGTTGAGCCCTGTTGTGTTAGGTAGAGTTGGGGAATGGAGGAGCAATAGAAATGTGTGTGAGTCAGTAAGGGACCAAGGCCTTGGCCTCCCAATGCACTGTCTGCAGCTCCCTATAGTGGTCTTGGTCATGGTGAGGGCCTTGATCCACCCATCACCTTCTGCCTTAAGCCTGGAGTGTTCTCCTTTTGTCTTTTTCTCTTCTCTCTCATTTCGATCTTCCTGCTCCTACCCTGGATATACTTTTTCCTTCATTTTTCTTACTAGAATTTATGTGTGCCAATCACTTCTGCAGCATGGATGTGGCTCTGTACACTGTGGGTATTTTAAAGACATCCTCCTAAGTATGATTCCAATTCCCACCTAGGTCCTAAGTGCCATTCAAGCATGGCTGAGTGGCCCTGGTGTCCTCCACTGTGTAGAAATATTTGCTACACAGAGCAATGGCCCCCTTCATAGATATTATTTGGCTAGGAATGCATTCCTGAAGGGTTAGTCAAATTAGCTTTAGGGCCTAGTGAATTTATCTGGTAGTTCAAAATGTGAATTAAGATCTGGCTAGTTGGTAAAAAAATTATATGTCCTTGCTCTTACTTATCTTCAAACTGTTGTGGTTCATTTCACACCCCTGGTCTTACTTTCAAAGTTGTTAAGGAGAAGGACTCTAGATTTCCAGATAACCTAAAAGGACACTGCGGCTGGACCACTGTGAATTCTTGGGTCACAGCATCCCATGACTACCACCAAGTAGAGAAGAAGTGAAATTCGGTCCTATTCAGTGACCTGAGGAAGGAGGCATCAAAGTGAGCTCCCATCCCCGGCAACCAGATGCAACGCTGAGATGAGCAACCTCACACACGTCTGCTTATGGAGCTGAGAGACTCTCTTGAATGTATGGGTGGGCCATAAAGTCTGCTCATATTTAATTATGATGTCATCAAAACCATCAAATATTTTTTGCCTTACACTTTGTGTTTTTTCTGGTTCTGGCTGAATAAAGAAGTCTTTCCCCACTCTGCGATCCTGAGAAAATTATCTTACATTTTCTTGTGCTGACTTTATGTTACCCTCTTGAGGATGTTAATGGTTGTAAGGCTTCTCTCTTTTTTCACTGGCATATCCCCAGTGTCCAGAGAAATCCTTCATACATCTAGCTGTTCAGTAGATGTCTGTTTTATAAATTGGGAAATCAGAGTCAAATTTTGTGTTAATAAGAGGTAAGAATCTAACTATGTATTTTTCCAAATCTCTTGAGCTCGTTTTCATTCTGCTTAATAATTCACTCCCCTTCCCTCCTGAATTGTGGTTTCTCCTCTGTACAGTATTATATCACAAGCATCCTCCTTCCCTGGCTTTGGGATATCTTACTGTTTTGTCTTTATAACTTAATGTCTAGTAGGTAGAATATGTGCCCTCTTCTTTTTCCAAACTGACAGTAATTATTGGACATTGATTCCTCCATGTACATTTTAGAATAAATATGTTAAATCACTCAAAATCTTTTGCTGGAGTTTTGGGTGAATTTGGCATTAATGTGTACAGTAACTAGAAGAGAACTGGCATTCTGTAAATATGCTACATCCTCTTATTCGGGTCATTGTTTTTACTCTTAATGGAATTATAAATTTTCACCATAAAAGTGCTGTATAGTCTGTTAGAGTAATTTCAAATTTTTTTGGCTCTTATAAATTATGTCCTATGTTGTGTTACATTTCTTATAGTCTATGGTGGAGACAAAATACTTACTCTCACATTAGATCTACTGGTTTACCTGTTGATCCTACTGTGTTTTCTATTTCAATGATTCATCAACTATAAGTAAGAGTATTTTGTTCTCTTTCAATACTTACTCTTCTTATTTATTTTTAATGCTTACTTCATTGTCGTAGGCCTCCAGTACACACTGGAGAGCAGTCATGATAGTGAGCATTGTTTGTGTTGTTTCCAGTTTTATAGGGAATGTTTAGAAACCTTCTCCATTGAAGCATGATAAGTATATTTGTTGTAGGTGTTAAAAAGGCTCTGAAAGAGCCTTTACTGTGGTTCTTAGAATTTTCGTCCCAGCAGTTTTAAAAGTTATTGTGATTTCTTGTATCTATTGAGACAGTCATTTTTTTTATCTTCACTGCATTATAGAGTTCAGTTACTAATACTATTGATGCCATTGCATCTTTGTATTGCTTCACTTGATAATGTTCTATTACTATGTTTAATAAACTGTTGGATTTAGTAAGTTTCTATTTCATTTACGATTTTTGCCTTAAACCTCATAGGCAAAATTGGACTATAATTTACTGAATTCACTAATATACTGGTTCACTTTATCATATAAGTGAATTAAAGTCTTACTCTTTTTTCTACTTTCCACAAAAATTTTGTAAGTTCAGGATTACCTGTTCTTGAAGTTTTAAATTATTTTCTTATAAAACTGAAGCTCTCAAAAGGAGGAAGTCTTTTATTACTACACAAATATCTTTAATACTTATTGGTTAAGTTATCTCGCTAATTTTCACTTTGTTTCTCCAGGAATTTGTCCATATTCTTTAAGTTTCCACAAGTATAATCATATTTTTTATTATTTTAATGCTTTTGTTGTGACTATAATATCTCCTTTATTCTATATCTTATTTTTAGTTTAGTCTTTTGTTAATCAACTTTATTAGTCCTTTCAGGACCAGCTTTTGGGTTGTTAAACTTTTCTGTTATTGATTTTAGAATATTATTTTCTATTTTACTCATTTTATGGGCTCACGTGAATTGCTTTCCATATTTATTATTTCCTAATAATACATTTAAAGCAATGGATTTAATTCAAAGTACATTAGCTCTACCCTACAAATTTTAACAGGATCTGTTGTTCAGGCAGAGTATTTTAACTCCTGTGAAAATACTCTCTTCCACCCAAGGACCATTTAGTAGCTTGTAGTTATTTCAAATATGTGTTTTTAGTTCTCATTTTAGGACAACTTCAAACTAAGTCTCATTAAAGTAAGATAATAAGTTGACTTGATCTTCGGAGGCTTCCTTCCTTCCTTGAGCCTGATATGTGTGAAACATCCTGTGAATTATTAAAGCTTAATCTCTTTACCCCCTTGTGTGATGTATTCAAGATTATAGAGGATAGCAAATAAATATTTTCATAAATTTGCTTATTTTTTACCAATTTGATCTGAGTCAAAGAGAAGTAAATCTCTCAATTTAACCCACTATACAGTAGACCTTATTTTCTGATTCTAATAATTGTGATACTGATTTATCATCCTATTATTCTTATTTAAATTGGCTTGAGGTTGCATTCTTTACACGTAAATATTTTTATAATTGTTTTCTCATCTTGATGTTTCTTTTGGTTTGATTTCTTTTTCTATTATGATTTTTGCCTTTATATTTCATATCATATGAAAATTACTCCTCTGATTTCATTTATAGTTTCCCTGTATGCAATTTTCTATCTCTTCATTTTCACATTCATTTTTCATATCTTTTAACTCTGTCTTCTGTAGACAAAATATCACTGGATCTAATTTGTTTTCCAGTACAAGATTTTCTTCTTTTGTTTGGTGAGTTCTGTGTGCTTCTGTTTATAATTTGTCCTACAGGGATTTATTTCTATTTATTGTACTTTTTCTTTTTTTCCTTTTCTAGTATCTATTGGGTAGATAAAATTTCTCTGTGATCATTTGAAAGCTTTACTAAAAAACAATTTTGACGGCTGCTTACAAAGACCCATATTTTTCTTTTTCTTTACAATATTTTAAATAGGTCATTTGTTATAATATAGGATACTTTCATTTTCCCTCTGTTCATCACAAATCTTACTTGATTTTGTGATATTATCTACAATTTTGACTATATTTTTTGGATCCTTTATTATTTAAAATACAGTAAGCTTGTGAGCCAGCTAGCCATTCTTGCTTCTTATATATTTCAAAACATGTGGCATTCTCCTGACTTTATTTTTCTTCTCTCTGGAACATTTACTGTAAGAAGATTTTGTATTCTTTCAAATATTCGGTACTTTATTGAAGTTGGGCTTTGAGGAGTAGACTTTTGCAGCTGTGCATGACTCACAGTATCCTTAGACTCATTTAAATGGTAGTCGAACTAAAAGGAAAGCTGTAGGTTTACAGTTGTCTTCCTTCAACACTATAAACAGGTGAAGGCTCTGTCATTTTGTGTGTGTGGGTTTCCTACTGAGATGTCTAAAGACCACTGGGTTCTCCATAGCTCATCTTTTTTTTCTGAAAGTTTTATAAAAAGATACTCCATCTTTATGATCTTAAATTTCACCGTAATGTGTCTGTGAGTTTTTCCTTCTCTGTTATGTTTGAAACTCTACACCGTTTCATTCTCAGGATTTCAATCTTTTGTTACTTAAGAATTCTCATTCTTTTCTCATAAATTTTTCTCTCCGTTTACTTTTGCCTCTATACCTTGTTAAGAAGTATCACCTCGTGTATTTCCTTCTCCACGTATTATCTTGTGAATGATCTTAGGAAAAATACAAGGCTGTCTAAAAGGGAGGTAGTATTTATCTTAGAAATTCATGTTAACTTTTGTGATAAAAAGTTTCCTTTTGCGGGAGACCAGAAACTGCAATACCTAAATGCAACCACAAGAGGGCAGATAGCTATCAACAAACCAGTGTCACTTCTTTTTTAAGCACTACTGAATAACCATGGTAGCTATAAAACGGAGAGATCCTTTTGTCAGGTATTTTCCAAACAGCGCTCACCTCCCAACTGAAAGCTTAATCTCCAGTGTCACTAGTAGGATTAGGGTTTGATCCAGCTTTCTCTGAGGTTGGGATAAAAGTACTCCTGCCCCTCCTAGGAGGAAATTTTTGCAGTTTGGAGTAGATGATTCTTATCCAAACCCTTAAGAATGAGCGTCTCCCAGAGGCACCGCTGTCAGCCATGTCACTTACTGGCAGCAGGACTTCGGGAAAAGTGTTTAAAATCCCTAAACCGTTGGGCAGACTCATCTCAAAGAGGAGGATAATGACTTCTGGCGTAGGGTTCTGAGGTGACTCCATGAGAGGACACTGGCAGGGGTTGAAAACTCAGAGCCATTCAGATTTCCTCATGTGTCAAACAAGGGGGCTAGGGAGTGGGTCTGCACGTTTCGGTTCCACATGAATATTCTGAGTTCACTGAAGTTACCTTTTATCCTTGGAGAAGATCACACTCAAAAAGATGTTTATAAGCCATGACTACTGCCTGAAATTCTTTTTCACACTGCTGTAATGGAAACACAAGCACCATGGGGTTGCGGGGAGGTGGGTGACTGTTCCTCAGGTCTGAAAGCCTAGGACTTCCAGGATGGTTCTGCTTCTTACTAGCCCCTAGCCCTGCAAAAATGAGACTGAAACGTCCACCTCCCAAAATATGAGGATTAATGGACCTCTTTAAACACAGGAAACAGTACCTATATCTGGAAAAAAAAACAGGCTTATGAAGCTACCCCTGCAAAGTTACTGAGAAAAACAAGAAATGATGTACACAAATTGATTAGAACAATTGCTGGAGTATATAGGAACTTCAGAGATACAACAGCAATTAATCACAATGCCTTGAATGGTAGAGTATAATGTTAAGAACTGGAACTCAGAGGACAGCGTAAGCAACTACTGGGGTAGACAAGCACCCGGTATCGAAGTGCAACTTGCCTCACATTCTGCTGGACATATGTGCCTGCTTCTGCCAGCTGTGTGGCTAGGTGGAACCTGTTCAGGGAGCAGAATTAATGGAGGCTCTGGCTGGAGACAGATGAGCTAGCTACGCATCAGCCCATTCATCATTTTCCATTTTGAAAATGGCTTCCAATAGCCCTTCTTTGTGCAGTTCATGATCAGATACGGAAGCCACCCATGGAAGACAGCCTTAAGGAGAAAGGTCTGGTCCACCCCAGCCCCTAGTGAGCGCTGCCTTACCTGTTCTACACACAAAACTCAAACCCTAACTTTCTCGAGTTTAGTTCAGTTCAAGCACATCTTTGCAAACTCCTGTGACTTGACAGGCACTGCTGTGAGGGGAGGAGTCAGAGGTGAGGAAGGTTGGCCCCTGGCCCAGAGACTGCGGGGGGATGAGGGTTGGCTATGGTGCCAGGTGCACCACGGAGGAGCACGTACGACAGGAGAGCAGAGAGGTGGAGGTTGGGTCGGAGAAGGAATCTTAGAGGAAGGGATGTCTGGGCTGAAATCTGATGAGTGAACACATCCTGGCAAAGTCAGAGGGAAGAGAACAGAAGGTGAAAGTGTGGGCCAGGCAGACGGACCGCCTTGAACAAAGGCCTGGAAGCAGTTCTGAGCAGGTGGGAGTCCTCGCCTCCTGCAGCAGAGGAGGCAATGGCAGGGGAAGCAGCCAAGGTAGGATGAGGCTGGGCTGAGGATGCTCTAGAGGGCTGAGAACCTAACGCCACCCATGGGCTCCACAGCAAGACTCCCGCTGCTGGTCACAGCAGAAACTGCCTGCAGACTCGCAGACCAAGGAGGGCCAGGCGAACAGGGCTGCTGACCCTAGCCTCACCTTTGAGCTGTATTGCACTGCCCAGATGGCTGATGCAGCCTCTCCAGAAGATTCAGATCCTAAAAATGTCATTCCTGGGCTAGGTCCCAAGAGCATTTACAGGTCTGCTGACTGCCCTTGATGCAGAGGACAGAAGACTGAAATACAGCAAGGAAGGCTGACTGGAGCAGGGTTCTCCCGGTACCAGGAGCCAGTGGTGAGGTGCTCTGAGCTTTCCTGTCCAATCCAGCAAGCGTGTCTGTCCCCAGCAGGCTCAGGATACAGAAGGGACTTCTCCGCTTCGCTGAGCCTCCCGGCCTTCCCAGGGCTGCGGCAGCTCACTCTGTCCATCTCTAAGGACAGGCTGTTTCTCCCTTTGCTGTCTCTTGGTGGCCGGCACCAACCCAAACCACTGCTAAAACCAAGAAGCAGGCTGAACACCAGGATGTGTTTGAACATCACACCCAACCAACCAGAGTTATATAATAAGCACAAGCCTGGAAAAGATAAGGTGGCAAACACAGAGGACGATTTAAGGAAGAAGGTAGCTAAGCAGATGGCACTAGAAGCAGCTGACTAGTTAAACACAGTAAAAAAAAAAAAAAAAAATTAAAAAAATTTAAAACAAGTTCCAGTTGGTTGGAGGTTGCTCTTTGTTTGGGGATTTAGAAAAAAATCTATGGCAAAGGAAAAACACTGGCAATGTTTCCTGCTCTATATAACCGACTGATTCCTCAGGCAACTCCCACAAGGGAATGCAGCCTGGTGTGTGTTGAGTTGATCCTTAAGCTCACTTCCTGGCTGTGTTAATAACCAAGTTTCACGGAGGGGAGCTTCCCCAGACTCCCTCGAGCTGGACTATTTATCATGGCAGCAGCTGGAGATAAGCTGGACACAAAGAGGATTTGTGTCTCAGGAGGGTCAGTCCCTAGATACAGAAAGCAGAGGAATTTTCTCATTAGTGGAAAGTCAGTGCTGGGGACTCTGGGGTTTTATCATGTGCCCCCAGTGCAAATGGCAACAGGGAGGAGAGGGTCCTGGGGGTAAAGGACTCAAAGAAGCTCTCACTGGACAACCTAAAGTGTCCAGAACAGACTTTCTTGGGAGATGAGAGACATTAAATGTCATCTGCACTTAGGAGACTTTTCAGGGAAGGCAGCCATCCCTTCTTTCAGGGAGTCACAGTGAGGGGCATCCTAACCCCTGGCATGGACCCAATCGGGAGCACTGCAGAAAGCTCAGGGGACCCTCAGGGTCAAAATCTCAATGAGAAGCCACTGCTCTTTTGCTATCACAGCTAGGCCAAACTGGGAAACAGTAGCAAAGGGCTGAGAGAGGACAGGCAGTCCAAGCACAGATGTTCAAGATACTCCCAACATTCTCTGACCTCCAAGGGATTGCACCATCTGAGGGAAAAGTGACCGAGAAAGACTTCTCTGCCCTTGGGGCAGCATTTGAGGTACAGTCCTAAGGAACTAATTCCATAAATTTTACCATCAGCTGGGGTTTCCCACCAGCACTGTACAGAGTGTGGGAATGAAGTGTTCTCCAGTGGCCTCTGGTTGACTGTCTCTTTCAGTAACTGCTGAAAGCCCAGAGGAAATGACCCCTCTTTCAGCTGAAATTAATTGTCCCTTTTTGACATTCCTGCTGCCCTTTAACACACCTTGCTAGCACAGAGGGCAGACCTGATGGCATCCTTATGCACTGTCACCAGACAAGAGTCCTGTATCATTCCCACCAACGTCACTGCTTTGGACAGCACTTAGCTCATGATAGGTAGGAATTTGGATATATTGTTTAAATAAAGATATCTTCATCTCTTGGCTTCTAGTGGCTCTAGACTAGCAGCGTTCAAACTGTGACATATCCATTTTTAGACCTAAAAATTTCCTTTTTCACTATAATTTTCAATACTTGATCTTAACCAAAAGTTACAACTTTTTTTTTTATTTGTTTGTTTTGTTTTGTTTTCCGGTACTGGGAATCGAACTCACGACCTTGTGCTTGCCAGGCAGGCACTGTGCCACTGAGCTAAATCCCCAGCCTCAAAAGTTACAACTTTGCATAATGGCGGGAAAGGAAGGCATGTTAGAGGTAGATTTCACACCTGAATGACCACAGAAGCAAATCCTGAAGCCATCCAATAGGAGAGGTCACCCGAAGAATAGTCACTGGAGCACAGGCTCAAAGGAAAACATAGCTATTGAAAGTATTTTCAATGCCTTTGCCCATGCATGGGATACGCTGGGGTTGTTTCTGTGTTTCTCCTGCTTCCAAGAACAATATGTTGTGTCCTCCTGTGGGAAAAGTGAGCACACTTGGAAGGCCCAGTTGTGTGTTTCCCATACTTCCTCTGAGAAACCATGTGTAGGAGGAGAACTGATGCAGAAAAGCCTGTAGACTTTGTGTCACACCAGACACTCCTGCCAAGGAGTCAGAGGGGCCCTGAGTGCTCAACGGTAGGACACACCCCTGACACAGTCATGGAGACAAGTGGCGGGGGGGACACAAAGGACTCATCTTCCCTCCTTTGGAAATGTGTGTGGCTTCTGTGAACAGACAAAATTTCCCTTTCTCTTTCTCTTTCTTCCCCATTTTTTTTTTTTCCTTTTAAGGATATTAAAAGTCTGGCCCATTCTCCAGTATGAGTCCTCTCTGCTCCTGGGATCTGATGGGCCAAGATGTCACAAAGGGGCCAAGGGCATGAGGTGAGCTCTTGTCCAAACTGCTTTCTCTCAACAAGTGAATGTCAGGGCTGTCCCACTTCAGATGGCTCCTGGGAGCAATTTCTCAGCAGTGACTAAGTCTGCAACTCTGGGTATTTTGCTGATGTTTACTGATGCTGGCCCTTTGGAGTTCGGGTCCCTCTTGGAAAGAAAGTACAAGTGTGAATACACAGCTTCACATCTTCCTTTGTGCAAGCAGGCTGTGGACCCTAGGCTGAGAACCAGTGGCTGAGAGGAGGATCCAACAGTCATTTGTATTTCCTCTCAGAGAGGGTCTTACCTGTGCACACACTGTTCATATCCCTGAGCTCAGCAAAGGTGCGGATACTGTCACCAAATCAGCCAGCCAAGGAACAGCGGTGGTGTATTCTGAGAAACTACACGTTCCTGACAAAGGTCTCACATTGGAGATTCGTCAGCAATGCTCATCTGTCTCACATTTCTACTTCTCTATTTCTCATTTCTCCAGGCTCCCAGAGCAAAATGCCAATAATGCTCTCCACTTAGTCTTGAGAAAACCACTTCTCCCCATCAGTCAGGAAGGGAAAAACCAAAGCCAGCAAATCAAACCAAACCAAATCATTTTATTGTGCAATTTCCTTCTACCAGAAAAATCTCTAAAAATATAAATATGAACTCTCTAAAAAATACTCAGAATAAATCTGTTAACTTCTTCCTCTTCCAACCTGGGGCTAAATTTGTTCTTTAAAAGCTGGCGCGGGTTGCAAACATGTTTCTTCCTATCACCCACAAGAGAACACTCCAATATGTTTCCCTCTATGCAGGGGTGGGGGGCACCATCCTCCTGCTGCGTTCTGGAAGCTCATCTTGTGACCTATCCGGGTAGAGCTACGGGATGAGGAAGAACTTATGGCAAGCTTGGAGAGTAATGGGAGAGAAGAGACTCTGTGGCCTCAACTTGCTTTTGTGGACACAGATGACAGGCTCTTCATGCCTCATTACTTTGCCTTCCTATGGACTGGGCTACCCAAAGGCCAAGCTCTCTAGGGAAGCTGGGCTTGCTATGAGGGATGTGTGGGGTGGGGTGGTCATGTGGCAACCACAGGAAAATCAGACACAGCACCTTGTGGGGCTTTGGATGGAAAAACTGGTCTGAGCTGAGGCACTCAGCAGGATTTGCGGAAGTTGCTCCCATGCTACCCTGAATAGCACTTACTCCCTAGCACCATGCAACATCTGCAGCATCTGAGACCAGGCACAGTGTCAGAAGGCCTCCTAAGGCAGCAGTGTCAACCTCCACGGGAGGTGGATGGCCAAGCCGTAGGCAGCTAGAGGTTGACTGGGGGTGGGGGGTGTGGTACTACTCAGTTCAGACATGAGGCTGAAGAACTCCGGGTGATGCTGGCAATGATCCTGGGACAACCTGGTGAGATCCTTTGGCTGATCTGGGCCTGAGGGCCAGCACTCTAGGAGCAGTCTGGGTGTGGCATGGAGACAGGCATTTAGGCGAGCTGGAGCCAGCACCAACCATCCTCTGGCTACTATATCATCTGGTCTCTGGAGAGGATCAGCCCCAGGGCAGGCACCTGTAGAGCTTCCCATAAGAGGAACAAACCAAGCATTTTGTACAGAGATCAGGTGAAACTGCTTTTGCTCCCTGATGCATGATTAGTGTCTCTGTCCACATATTCCCAGGTCCGTGTGTTTTGGGTAAAGCCCCAAACTGGTCCATGAAACCTCACAGAACCCCAAATGCTAGGTCTAAGGAATTCTCTCCAACCTCATGGCCAGATATCATAGCTTTAGGATGTTCTTGGAGTAAGATAGAATGTACTCATGCACTGACAGCCTGGTTCACTCCACCAGGCCTGCAGGTATCTGGCTGCATGGACCCTTGTGAATAGAGAAGGGTCAGGACTTTGCAGGGAGGTGGTGGTGAAGCCCTGCTTTCTGGGGCAATGGAAGATAGGTTAGAGCAGTAAGGGGTAGGAGGACAGAGCTGAAGTTGCACAACTGCAGAAGCAAGAATGCAGGAAAGTACCCACATCCCAAGGATCTCACTGAGGCTTCCAGTTCTGCAGGTGTTGGCATGGATGTCCTATATGGCAGAGGTAGTGGGAAGGGAAGGAGAAGCTCAGCGATGAATTGGAAAGTGAGTCCTGGGTGTCCCAGAGCTCATGGGTGGGAAGCCACACAATGAACAGAAATGGGGAGGCCGCAGGAATCACAGGAGGAAGACTGCTGGAAGAGCCTGACCTGGGGTGGCTGTGCCACTCCCAGCCTTCTCCTGAGCGCTGGGCCCTTTGTTCATGAAAAGAGACTTTTCCTCTTCCTGCAAAGGCCCTCTTGGCTCGGATCACTTCGGCGGCACCTCCTGGCCACAGGAAGACAACATGATATGCCCCCTGGTGGAGACAGGAACACAAAGGTTAACCCAGGAGGGCAAGAACCAGCTAAGCAAGGTTGGATGAACCCTGTTGGTCCCTCGTCACCCAGGTACTGAAAGCGGGCACAGAGGAGGACCGTGGACACCAGGATAAGGGAGGTGTAGGCCAGTGTCCCCTCCAGAAGCGCCCAGCACTGCGGGGGACTCAGCAACTTCAGCACAAGCTCCAGGGCACCTGCCGCTCAACTAAACACAGTTTCTGCCACGGTTCTCATCACATCCCAACCTCTCACATGCGTCACCCCGGCTCTTGCACTTACCCAGGCCCTGCACGGCCTCATTCTGGGCTGGGGTGACCCTGAAAAGCTGCTCTCATCCCCAGTGACGTTCTTCTATGTCCTGGCTTCACTCCTCTCTCTACCATCTCCACTTTTGGTTCTCCTAGGCCCACTCCCTTTGAGAGGAGAGGCTCTCCTCTCCCAACAAAACTAGAATGCCCTCTGCTGCTTCTGCCAGGGCCTGGCTGGCCCCGTCTTTACCCACAGCAAAGGCAGCCTGTCCTCCTGTGCATGGAGCTGTGCTCAGACACAACTCTTTCCCAAAGGCTTCTCCAAGACCGGTAAGGTCTTCACTCCATATTCTAATGTTTGACTGAATGGGGAAAACCTTTCATAACCCTTGGCAGCAGGGTTAATCCGGGGCAACACTGCAAGGTCTCAGGCTTGGTAAGCACCTCATTTGGCCCCAGCCCAGGGGCACAGGAAAGATGGCAACCAGGGCCCCACACTGCTTGAGACCAGGGGGAGCCATGGCTGGGCCATGGTCAGGGTGTGTGGCTTTCTAGGCCAGACCCCGTCATCAAGCCAAACCATCAATCCTCACCCAGCCTTGTTCCCTGAGGCAGGGGGCCATCACAGAGAGAGAAGGAACCAGGAAATGGGAGAGAGAGAGAAGAGCAGACAGCAGCTAGGAGGTGGGCAAAAGGATTCCTGTGAGATCCATCATCCTGGGCTGGAGGCCCCACAATTCAGTAGGAGGCTAGGATAAGCTCGGAGCTTCAGGGTCCAAAGGCTGCAGCCAGCACCCAGGGAATTTATGGAAAATGAAGATCAGGGGTGGCACCCATGTCTTTTTGCCACTCTTCAGATAGAGTCTTTAACTGGGATGACTTGTGGACTTCTGACCCCATGTATGGAGAGTTGGCTCCCTGCTGAATCTCATGCAAGGAAGACAAAGGGCATGGCGGAGCCGGGCAAGGGCCCATGTGCACAGTGGAGGAGAAAGCAGGAGGGAGAGGTGTGTTTAGCAGGGAGGAGAAGAGGATCTACTCGAAGGAAAGCAGGTCCGGGTGAGGGCCCTCGTTGTCAAGGCTGGAGGTCCGTGCCCGGGGACAGGGATTGGCGTCTTCCCATGACTCAGCCAGGCTGATGGGGCTCAAGCTGAGTTTGAGGCCATTCCTCTCGATCAGGCCAGGGGACGAGGCTCTTCTGCATTCAGTTGCCCTCAGCTTGGACTCATCCTGGCTGTCCTTGTGGATTAGGTCAGGTATGGACAGGGACATCTCGCCATTGGCCAGGGCCTCGCCCCTATTTCCCATTTCCATGGTGGTTTCTGGTGGTGAAGCATCTGCTGAGACAGGCTGGGCAGTGGGAGGAGAGTCCTGGGGCTGCCCAGGCGCCAGCTCAGTCCCATACTCCAGACTGCTTAGGACAGGCTGCGAAGAAATCAGCATGTCCTGGGTCGTCTTCAGGGCTCGAGGGGTCCGCTTCTTGGTTACGGGAGGTGGAGGATCCAGCCGTGGGAAGGCTTCTGTCAGCGACCTGTGAGGTTGGTGACAATAAACACACATGCTCTATGGATGGCAAGATAGCAGTCCATGCTGCATTCTTACTTTCCTAACTCCAGCTGCACCTTCAACTCACCCACCCAATAAGCATCTCATCCCTTGGGCTCTTATTCTGATTTTAGGGCACAAAAGGTCTTAGCAACTTCTGCACAACAACTAGCTTCCGTCCCCACTCCTTGCTCAGAGCAGCTCAAAGTGCTGCCTGCAGGAGACAGAATAAAGATCACCAGAGACTAGTGTCATATCAGAACCTACACAAAGGCCCACCATGACTGTGTCACCATCTCACAGGTATAGGTATTTAAAACGAGGGGACCTGTTGGTAGGCAGTGGAAAAATGGGAGGGCAGCCACAGCAGGTTTCTGTGTCCCTTCCCCAGGGGATTCTCTTCTAGGGCAATGGTTCTCGGGTGTGGCTGGGCATCAGAAACCATCTAGGGAACTTATAGGCAACACCTGGGTTTGACTCCAGTTCTGTGATCTCAAGCTACTCATTTTACAGCTCTGTACTTAAGTTACCTGCAAAATGAGAATACAGTCTAACTCCCTGGTCAGTAACATAATGCGCTAAAGTACATAGCCCAGTGCCTAGAACATGCTCCTATGAAGCTGGTCCCATGAACATGGTCCAGTTCTTTAGCTTTTCTTCCTTTGACCATTTCACATCTTTTCCCCCACTGTACTCTTCCTGACACACTGCAGTTTGCCCATGTACCTCTTCTTCAAGTGGGATACTGGGCAGGTGGGGGGCAACTCACCTTTCATCCTCCAGGCTGGCTCCTGATGCCACATCAGTCCCACCAGCCAGCTGGGCTCCTACAGTCTTGTTGATCTCCATCACACCCACACTGCCCAGGTTTGAGGGCTCCTTCCTCCGCAGGAGGTCATTGACTTTGGCCCCCATGGCTTTGCCAAGGTTCTTGAGGTGCTGGCTGCTGCCCACCCTCAGTCCTGGCCCAGCAGGTTCCACAGAGCTCAGGGTGGTAGAGCTGGGGGCCGCAGGCCTGGACAAGTGGGGGAAGGAGCGGCTCGACTGGAGCTTTGGAGTGAGGGCTGTGTTCAAATTCTCAAACATGCTGTGGTCAACTATGAACAAAGAGAGGAGCAAAAGAAATGGATGAGTAGGGGGGGATAGGACCTGAGACCTTATTGCTTTATTTTTCTCATCTGTACACCACACCCTAAACTTATAACTCCATAAGCCTTTGGAAACATTCAAGAAACAGCCAGCAGAAATGCTCTTGAACTCTCCAGTGTAGTTTTCTTGATGGGACATGAGACCAGAAATTCCAGTTCTGCCCCACCCGAGTTAATCAGTGAGTAACTCTAGCCATCCAAAGGTGAACTTACTCCTTTAAATTGGCCTCCCTGACTCAGGGCTTGATCCCTTTCTTTTGGGGTCACCAGGCCCTTTGAAGTAAAATAAAAATGAGGATGAAGCAACGAGATAGGACATGTTTACAACAGCGTAAGCACAGGCTTTAGCTCTCTGATTGAGGCACCAAGAGAGACAAGGGAGGGATAGCCGGTGTGAGTCTTGGTAGTGGAAGCTCCCTGCTGCCAGCCACCACGTCTGTAGCAGTTTTTCTCCACAGAAAACAGGCTAGCAATTCGTTAGGTTTCCTGGGTGGAACTTGGGAGAATAGATCAGCGTATGTGAAGAGAGGCCACTAGCTCACACCAAGTAGACCAGTACGTGGAGCCAGTGAAGCATGCTGATCCTGACAAACCTTAGATCACTCAATCCTCACAACCACCCAGTGGGGAGGGGTGCATGGGAGGATATCTATTTATACATGAGGAAGGGGGCTCAGAGTGTTTCAGAGTAACAAACCACTGGGGCTGAGACCACAGCACTAATTGCTGGTGGGGCTGGGAACAGAACTCAGGTCTCCTAACCCAGAGTTAACACTCTTTCCACTACTTTTCCTCTGAACTGGATCACAGGAACAGCTGCCTAAATGTGTTTGGTAGATGGTCCTTCTCTTGGGCATCTCTCCTTGCCTTGAACAATTAACTCAAAGGGCTGGGTATAGAGCCACTGGGTTGTAAACAGAGCCCTTGGCTCATCCATCTTTATGTGCCCAACACCTTGCCTGGGTCTGGTACATGGGAGATACTCAACAAATATTTTCAATTGCCCAAGTCTATTTTGCAGATGGAGAATTGTAGAGGACAAGATGGAAACTCCAAGCCTTGCTGCTGAAAGGGCTTGAGCTCCAAGCTCTGAGCCATGCTGTCCATGCACTGGCATGTGGGTATCCTCTCCAGCTGGAAACCCAGCTCAGTAAAGCAAGACAGCCTGATCCACTCTAGGACCTTGGAACTGGGCCAGAGTGGTCTACACCAACTACCCCAGATAAGGTGTCAGTCTGGGGGAAGGAGAGGCTACAGAGGGTTCCTAGGCCCCTCTCCCTGTCAATTCTCTCCTAAGAGAAATGGAGGTTAGGGTGGACTCTTGCTTCTGTCTGGTTTTGGCATAAAGTGGTTCTTTCACCCTGTACTGCTGAGTCTGGGCCAGGTGGTACACATCTCTTTCTTGTGATTTCACCAGGATCATCTTCTCTGGGCCAACTACCTAGATAAGCCATGTTCTAAGGGTATTTTGGTGACAGGGAGAAAGTCATGGGAAGAAGGATGGAGATCTCACTCCCTGTAATGGCCCCAACCCACATGGCAGGCAAAAGTACCACTGTGGATGGGGGTATGCCAGGGAACTTGGAACTACAGCGTCCCTGGGTATAGACGTGGCCTGCCATTCAAGTAGGAGTTCTCAGCTCACCCTCCAAATAGCAGGGCCACCAACTCCTAGTTGTTCTGCTAAAAGTATATCCTGCCATGTCATCCACTTTGGCAAAATTTGCCTGTCATGTCTCACACCCTTTTCATTCTCTTATGTACTCTGTGAGCTAGCTAAGACTACTTGGAAACGAAACAAGTTAACTATTGTCCCCAACACCAGAAAGTATATGGGAACCTAAGGAATCACACAAAGTGCTTCAAAGAGGTATGCTGGGAAGAACAAGTCTTCCCCCACTTCCTGGGTCAGATGTTTCTCTGGTGGTTTCCTTTCCAGTGAATATTCAGAGCAGACGCTCATTTTTAAAAGTGTAAACACCAAAACTCCAATTATTATTATTTTTAAAATACTATACAACAAATAACTTTTGGATTATTTACCATTTTGAAGCTCCTGTACTTGTTGTTCTACCCTTTATAATATAGCCCATAAAATACACTGAATTCTTAAGTAATTTAAAGATAGCCTATCATATACTCTCTCTATGGTTGGCTAAGTCTTTCTGCTAAATACATCTTGTCTCTATAATAAAATGGTAAGCTCCTTGATGAGCTGTAGAATCCTGTGTGTTTTCAATTTAATTTAATTTTTTATTGTCTACAATGCCTGGCTTGGGTTTTGCACAACTGGAGGCATTTTTAATGTTAGTTAATTGAATTTGACCTTTATATTAATTCCTAAAAATTGTATGTATCATAGGTTGACATTGTTGGGAAACTGCTCTAAGTCTGTTCCATGTATTAAAAAAAAATCAAAAACCCCTCTGTAGGAGTACTCACTAGGACTCTTGAGGTCAACCCAGGAGAAACTGTCCTTCCTTCTAATCTAGGCCTCTAGCTGGGGCCTCCTTCATCCCCATACCAAGGGATGCGCAGTGAGCCACTTTCCTGCTGATGACTCTGATGACCCCCACACTCTGTCCCTCCTGCCTCAGAGATAGAGGCTTGTGCTTCAGAAAATAATGGCAATGGAGGACAGAGAGATGATTGGAGCCCAGCTGACTGGCCCTCCCAACAGTGCCCCTCCCCAACATGCACATACCCAAGCAGAGGGGGAAACCTAGGGACATAAGTCATCCACAAGAAAAGGGTATCTTACCTGTCCGAGAAAGGGGCTCAGAAAGCAGGTGGGAAACAAGAGAAAGACACATTTTATGTAGTGACCAATCACTTTAGAGTGTCACCTCCTGCCTGGTCACCAGCCACAACATATCGAGCGAGGGAATACAGCACACCAGACAGAGGCCCTGATATCAGGAGCATAACAAACCTGGGATGACCAGGTTTCCAGAAACTCTTCAATAACCAGAAGAGGGTTGTATTTTAACTCTACAAACAGGCTCTGAGAGATTCAGCCTCCCCAAATTTCCCCAATATCTTCAGCTCCCTTTCTATCAAGTACATCTCAGATTCCCAGTTGGCAGCGGGAAACACGTGTGGGTTAAAGTAGAAAGAAATTCTAAGTTCTCTGGGCCCTGTGTGCATCACTTTACATGTATGTTATTCACCATATAGACGTCAGTCACTAGATCTTAGCCAGGAATACATTCATCTACTCCACTCAGAGTCTAACACTATGGAAAAGTCAGTGGCAGAGAGTTCAACCACCATCACACAGGCAACTGATGGCTAAGAAGGACTAGAAGTCACATACCTGACTCCCAAACCAATGAGCTTACTCTATACCACAATGGCCCTATAAAATTGCCAACACCCTCAAAGTTGTCAAAGTATATGACTTTGATTTACATTTCAATGAACTTCTAACACCCAAACCAAGCCATGAAACCCTGGCAAACCCTAGTCTACCACTGTCTTTTAATTGTTTTGGTATCGAGCATAAATATAGATAAGAAGACAACTCCAGGCTCTTCCACCTAGAATTTGACAGTGTAAACTCACACAAGCTCCACCTCACTGTGGAAGGAGCCATTACCATTGTTGCTGCCAGAGTGGACTCTATCTTCAGCACCCAGCAGAAACATATCACCATTTAGATCTCTTGTGTATCGTGTTGACACCTTCAGCTCATCTACAAAGTGTCACAGTGGTCTTTCCTTCGTATGCCACATCCCACTAGTGTTAGGTTATATGAGAGACAAAAGCTGAGCAAAAAGGCAGCGCTGATCCCCTGGTGCCCAAAGAGCAAAATGATGTCCATTGGTGTTTTAGTCACTTACAGAAAGGAGCAGCAACCACTGAAAACAATATGCAGTCCCTATTCTTAGGAAACTCATATTGAGGCTTTAAGTATAAAAGGATATAAAGTTTGCACCTTACCTGTGAATAGTTTAGAAGAAAGTATACACACATACACATAGACAGTGGGGAAAGGAAACAGAGCAAATGGGGTAAAATGTTCACAATATGAAAATCTAAATATGGGGCAGATGGTTCTCTTGGTGCTAATTTTATTTTTGTAAATTTGATGTTATTTCCAAATAAAATATTAAAATATCTATATCTATATTCATCTTCCAAACCAAGACCCCAAAACTAAAATAAAACTACAAAAATGTTTCATGCAGAAGTTAGGCAGATAAAGAAGAAAAAAGTATGATGATCATTCATAGAAGACAGAGGGTCCCAGGGCTGGGGGAACATGGTGAGGTCAGTATAGAAAAGGACAATACTAAAGGAAACCGGGGTAAAATAGCATTGCTATCCTATCTCTGCTATATTCTTTCTTCCCTCGGAGTATTCTCAGCTAGGGCAGGCCACTGAAGAAAGGCATCAAAAAAATCTTTACAAATTGAAGAAAAAGCAAAAGATCTTGCTTGGACTAGACTACCTCCATCTTTTACAAGGGTAACCTAGCAGGTGAGTGGAATCATGTGACCTTGTGATGTCAACTATGCTCAGAACGCTCATCACTAGGCAACTTGGCCAGCCTCTTGGCAGTAGGTGTGTGATCTCCAGACCCTTGTGGAGGTGAGAATATGGAGAACTTCTCATTCCTTAGCATCTCTGGACCTCGAATCTCTTCCTCTGCCCGGAGCACTTTTCCTGACATTTTGTCCTCATGTGCCACCAGCCTGCCAGGTAAACTCTGGTGTCACTAGGACCACAAAAAAGAGTGGGGTTTTTTAAAGCTTTTACTTGAGGACGTATGAGATCATGTTACAGGACCGCATTTTAGTGAGAAAGCCAAATTACACATGGGGAGAAAATAAGTTTTCAAAAATGCTGCTTTCCTGGTAAGTAATTCTTGCTGTTAAATCATTTCTGGCAAAGGAAGAATAGGGAAAATATTTGTTATCAAATTTCTTCCCCTTGGAGTCGGCACAAAATGTCAAGGCAGTAGTCTGTCTACATAGACAGTCGGTACTCGTTTTGGCTTTGTTTTGACAAGCTAGAAAAGATTCAGACTTCAACTATCAGTGGGTAGCTAAGAGTAGGGTAACTGATGAGAACATCATGGAATAAAGTTGGCCCCTGAGTACTTGCTATTCAAAATCTGGCCCCTAGAAACCTGTAACCTCAGCATCTCCTGGAAGCCTGCTAGAAATGCAGTCTCAGGCCTCTATCCTAGATCCACTGAGTCAGAATCTGCAGTTTAAACAAGAGCCCCAGGTGATTCCTTGCACATTAAAATTTGAGAAGCATCATTCTGTGGAGTGGTTCTCCTAAACATCCTTTTGACTACACAGGATATTTATAAATCTGTCTCCCCAACAGAGCACAGCAATTGCCCTGGGATCTGAGGCAGGTCTGCTTTTTTATGCAGATATTGCATAAAGCACAGCAAAGGCCCACATGACCCCTCCTTGGCTATGGGTATGAGACACTAGAGAACCAGGCTTCTCCTGGGTATCAGGGTATGCAGAAGCCCGCAGTGCAGCATGAAGTCACACACATGCTGAGCTGCAGAAGGATCAGCCGAGGGGTGGGCCAGGCAGAGAGGTGTCCTTTGGGCCACATACAAAAGCCCCCTTTCCGGAGGGTCTTTCTAAGGTCCGAATAAAACTGTCCCATTTGCAGTTCCCCAGGATGTCATCCAGAATAGCTCTGCTTGGCTGGGTTTCAGAGGTTGCTTTGCTTCGGTTTTGAGAGGCTTTGACATACAGAGGGTGAGCCTTTGGGTGTATCTCAGGGAGCCTTAAGGAGAAGAGTTCCAGCCTTGCTGAGCTCACCAGCGTTTCTTCTGTAACCCAGACATTGCAAAGACAACGGTACCCAAGGAGGCTGCCAATCCAGCTCAGTCCCTGCCACCCCAGTACCAAAGGAGCACCCTCCGGCACGGGGTGCATAGCAGAGTGCCCTTCCCAGGTGAGGCCTTCTCTGACTCTGACGGGAACATGTGGGAAGCTGAAGACGGTCCTAAGGGAAGGGGATCTGCAAGCTGCTCCCATGCACTGCTGTTTTACCGGCAGCCTCCTGCCTTCTCCCACCCCTGCAGGGCGACACAGGCCTGTGGAGGCCTCCTGTCTCTCCCTCCTGTTCCTCCAACTGATGGGGAGAAGCAGTTTCTGTCTGAGGGGTTAAGATAGGCAGTGAGGCTGGAAAAATGGTCACAGCCATCGTGATAAAAAGAGGGACAGTCAGAGTCTGAGGTCTGGCTGTCCAACAGGCCAAAGGTCTGAGTCTCTCCTTAGAGAAGTCAGAGGACAAGGCATCCCCAGGGAGGGAAGGACCGGACTCACACCAAGGCTTAGTCACTGAGAGGGGCCTCTCCTGCATGGATATCCAATGGCTATTTGTACCAAGAAAGAGAAAGCAAGAACAAAGGCCTCAGACTGCCCTCCCCCGTCTGTCTTCTACCTGCCCTTTGTCACTATGCAGATCAGGAGGGGGCCCCTGAGGTCACGCACAGCTGCCTATCCTCTGGCCTTTCTGCTTCTCCTCATGGCCTCTAGCCACTGAAGTTCCACTGCTCCCTGCTGTTCCCCGCCTTCTGCCATGGCTCAGGCTCAGACCTAGTCCTTTACTTTGCAGACTGCACCTCAGGGGACAGCCCAAACGGAAAGCAGCTGAGGCGAAACTGCATCATCTATCGGCCCTGGTTCTCCCCATACAGCTACTTTGTGTTTCTGGACAAAGAGAGCCACCTAGAAGCCTGCAGCCTCCCAGAGGCAGAACAGGACGAGTGCAGAGGGGATAGCAGCCTTCTCGAGGACGTGGCTGAGAGTATCTGCTCCTCCTCTTCCTCCCCAGAGAACACATGCCCTCTGGAAGCCACCAGAAAAACCAGGCATGGCCTGGACTCTGTGGATTATGTCACATCCCAGGACATCCTAATGGCCTCCAAGTGGTACCCAGCCCAGCAGAATGGCTACAAATGTGCGGCCTGTTGTCGCATGTACCCCACCCTGCACTCCCTTAAAGGCCACATCAGGTGGGGGTTCAAGGAGGGCTTCAGCTGCAGGGTATACTACCGTAAGCTCAAAGCCCTCTGGGGCAAAGACCAAAAGTCCCGGCCTGGGGATAGGCTCTCCTCAGGCAGCTGCCAGGCCTTTAAGTAGTCACCTCAGGTAAATAGGGGAGGAAGCCTATTGATATCTCTAGAAAGATGCCAATAAATCAGTTAGTCACAGCGCTCTGTCAAGTCTGGGGTCACCTTGCACCACCTGCCGTTCTTTCCAGAGCCCAGTCAGTCTTTATCCCCTTCATCTAATAGTTGCTTAGCAACATGAGGCCAACTCTTTGTCTGCCTCCTCCTCTCTCCTCATGCTCTCTCCCTCCTCTCTCTCTCTCTCTTTCTCTCTAAGAAAAACAATGCCTGAAGTTTGGGAATGTCTTCTCAGACAGTGGTTCTCAAAGTCAGGTGCCCATATGAGCAGTATCGATGACCTCCGGAACTTTGTTAGAAATGAACTTCTCAGGCCCCACTCAGACCTCCTGAGTTACAAGCTCCGGTATGAGAGCCCAGCCTTGTGCGACCTCACCAGCCTTCCAAGTGATACCTAAGCAGCCAAGAAGTGAGAACAACTGCCCCAGGATCCTGGCCTTCTGCTTGGCCTGTGTAGGATCCACTCCACCTCCACCCTAAAGGATGACAGCAGGCTGGACCCCTCCTGTGGGTGCAACGGGAAGACTGGCTAGTGTCTGAATGGCTTCCTAGATGTTAGATCTTCTGATAGCTGGGATGGGGAGAACAACAGGCCGCAGCAGAAGGCAGGAAGCAGACGAGCAGGCAGGGCCCATTTCCACCACACACACACTGCAATGGCTCACTTAGCATGGGAATCTTTCGCTGAAGTAGAAGAGAATCACATTTCACCCAGGGGACATCTTTTCATGGTTGTTTTGAGCTATGTCAGAACAGGCAGGTAAACGTGTGAGACACGGCTCCCTGTTACCACTTAATGCGCCCAGAGACCAGCCCCGACCCTTACTCTTAGTTCTGTGGGATCCTCCCTGCCAATCTGATCCAGAAAGATGAGTGAGATCTAGAATATTTATTCAGCCCATTATGTATTTCAAAAAGAAAAAGGAGAAAGGCTGAACACTTGCTGGTCACATTTTTAGGCCTTATTTCCCTCGTGCTTCTGCTCCTGATGACTGCATGGGTCCTCCCACCACAACAGGGCATCTCCTTGCAGGGACCTGACACCAGCTTCCCTCTGTCTCTGCCTCCCTGACAGGTGGGCTAGTGTGTGGGTAGAGGGGCCACCCTCAATCCCTGTGGATACACAGTAGCTTCCTGGAGCCCTACTTTGTGGCTCGTCATTGTGCTGTTAAAGAATCATTTGTGGTGCTTTTGTTGCTCACAGAAAGAGGAGCTGGGCTCAGACCCCTATCGCTTCCTATGCAGCATGATTTGCTTCCTGGATGGACATTTGCAGAATGGGCCCATTCAGACACCAACTAATCTCATATTCAGTTGGGAGCCAGTGAAACTGTATAATCTTGATCTTAGTTATATTAGAAACTAGGATGCAGTACTTTCTCAAGCACTCAGACATTTGTTGCTACTGCCCATGTATTCTAACATGATTTGGAGTTCGAAAAGGGCTGGGGTCTGAAAAGTCTACACAAATGGGATGGACTTTCCTGTCTTAGCTCTACGGATATGTGAGGCTGGATAATTCTTGGTTGGGGGCTGCCTTGTGCACAGGACGTTTAGCAGCACCTCTGATCTCCATTCATGTGTTAGGAACATACCTACCCTCGCTGTGATGAATGAAAATGTCTCCAGTAACTACCAAATGTCTCCTGGGGAAACAAAATTATTCCCAGCTAAAACCAGCAGTAAAATCTGACAAGTAGTACAGTCTGAGCCTGGAAGGCTGTCTGTATCCAGCCTCCTGAGGGCACCACCTCCCTGCCCTCCTTCAGGGAATACGAGAATCCCTTCTTTGTGCCACACCCTTGGGAACCATGTCACAGAACTGAGCCCCGCTGGTTTGGGAAATGGGTAGAAGTGACAGGCATAGAAGGAGCAGGTGAAATAGAAGAAGCAAGAAAAGACAATAGAAAAGCTTTTAGAAATAAGAAAGGTTTATTTAGCAAAAGCCACTAGACTAGTGACAACATCCAGGGAGTAAGTGCACTTACATTAACAGAATCTTTTCCCAGAGAGTTGATCCAACAGAGTTAATGACACAACAGTTTTGGGAAGTAGAGGGCTAGAGGGTGAGAGGGTAGGAGGAAGCAGTCAAGCAAAGAGTAAACAAAGCAATACAATTCCTAAACAAGATCAGTTGAGAGAAGTGAGCTGAGAAGAGGCTTTACAGATAGCACTGATACAGCAGGGATATAAGGAATATAATTTTCAGTCTCCATATGCAGTCCATCCCGTGCAGAGAAATTCTTTCCCAGCTCTGCAACTGTGAGACCTGGCATGACCAAGTCTGTTGGCACCTGAAGCAGGCTGGGGCAGGCACCAAGAAGGGAAGAGCCCCTGGTGTCCACATGTTCTCCACGTAGGGCAGAGCAGAAAGACGAAAAAGAGGAAGGCAGGGTTGAGTTAGCAGAGCAAGAAGCAAGGTGGGAAGAGGACAGAGGGACATCGCTGGGAAATCAGGTCTGTAACATTCCCTTTCCTGTCCAGTGGGCCCTGAGGGAGGGTCGGTGGCTGGTGATCCTTTCAAGCCCCTAGATCTGTCCTTGGTCGCCCATCTCTGCACACCAAGTGTGCACACACTTGGGTCACACCGGGGAGGATGCTGAACATGAATGAATACTCCAGGGAGGGCGTGAATCAGGGAAAGCGCAGGGCTGAGGCAGGTGGAAACCCGGGAGCAGAAGTCTTGAACAGGTCCTAGCTTAACATCGTATGTCACCAGTCTTTCCATTTCTTTTCCTCTCGCCTCCATTTCCTTTCCTGTTTCCCTCTGCAAGCTTTTCAAGACCATTCAGAAATCATATTCCCTACCTACTCCCTAACCACCTCCGCACAAGCCTCCTCCAGCCACAGTTCATTCATCTAATCCCTTGGCTTCTGGCTGCATCCTTAACTCTTGCATGCAAGGATTTTTCTCAAGAAAACAGACCTTCTACTCCCCTGGACACTCAAAAGTCTGCTGGTCTCAAAGGTCTCAGACTCATCGAAGCCAGGGTTAGGATTTCGTAAGCTAAGTAGGCTCCGCCAAACTGGATTCCTGATGGCTGCTCCTTTAGTTCTGCGGATCTCACATTCTTCCATGCGTTTGGATCTATTTCCAATGCTTAATTAGAAAATGTAGTCAACTGAACTATCTCTCTCCAACTAAATTCATGTTAGGAAAAGGACACAAATCTATTATTGATTCAATCACCCCAAAAATCCCCTAAGTTTTCTCTTCAGTCACTTCTCACAAGCCTACAAATATATCCTTACCTTCCATTACACGTGTGTACACACACACATACACACACACACACACACACACACACACGGGACCTCATCCTATTTCCGTGAACACCCTGATACAACAGGGAAAGCTAACGGAAAGCTGCAATTATTTCCTTTAGTTTGGACTTTCTGGTCTGGAAGACATCCAAGCATGGCTGTAAGAGAGGGCAGCACTTGCATTTATATCGATTCCAAAACAAAGCTGGGGTTGAAGAACTCCACTTGGGGTGACTGCATCCTTCTCAGTGGGCCCTCTAATATAATAATAACTGCAGCCTGGTCTGTAGCTTGTGGTCTAGGAGGGAGCCTTCTTCCCTTGAACATAACACTCAAGCGTATCTCAGCTTTCTCTTCACGTATCTAGAAATCTATTAACAGCCACTCATGGCCTTACAGGGGCAAAAGGAGCTTTTCTTCATGGGCCCCACCAGCCTGTTACCAAGTGGACATCCCTAGCAAGGCCTAGATAGTAAAAGATAAAAGACTGGCACATAGAACTTTCCACGGGTGTGCTCAAGGCATGCACCCACAGAGACGGGCCAGGGTGGCACACTGCGGTCTCCGATCTAAGTGGCAGTGATTCTTGAAGAGTGGACAAAAGTAGTCTCAGCCATCAGCTTCCACCCATTTTTGTTTCATTTTGCAGTAAAAACCCACTAATATGGCCCAGTGGAGGGGACAGGAGGAGAGGTAAGGCAGGGGGCTCTGGGTTTCAGAGCAAAGTGCTATAAAAGGTTTGGCTGACACAGCCCCTGCAGCAGGACACAGCAGGGACGTGGGTTACTTCCTGACCTCTATTCACAGGGGGCAGTCTGCAGGCAGGAGGTAGGCAGGGCAGGGCTTCCAAACTGAGGAATCAGACAGACCTAAGTGACTTATGGCTGCGAACAGGTTGTCCTGACCCTGGGCTCTCACAGCAGGACCTGAATGATGGTAATACTCTCATGCTCCCTCTGAACCAACATCCCCATAGAGAAAATATGTGCATCCCATTTCCTGCAGTGGTTTATCCACTGTGACCTGTGACACATCCCCATCCATACTCACACTAAAATCAACAGCCTGGCTCTTGCAGTCGGGAACATTCAACCTCTACACTCTCAGCAAGGGTCTGGAGAAGGAATTCCCCCAGAAGGTCGGGGGAGGGTTAGGCAACTGGTAGCGTCCTGATATCCAGAAACAGAGTACCTGAGAAGGTACCAATGGCTTCCCTTTATGGGTGGGACCACGGAGAGAGGGGAGTAAGGGGACCCCTGGGGCATCAAGTGACGGAGCAGAAGGGTCTGATAGCGCAGCAGGTACGGGGAGTGGGTCTTCCAGCAGCCTAGTGATATTGAAGAGGGACCCTCTCCCAAAGCCAGGGCCCAGCGGGGCCCTGCTTCCACCACCCTTCCGTCACAGCAGACGACGGAACTGACTCACATCCGGGAGTCCATTTTCCTCCCCGTTTCCTTCCAACGCACCGTTCTAGTCCCCCTCGAAAGCCTTCACCACTCTCCTGATCCTGGGTGTTATCCTCAGCGGCACGCCTTCCCTGGGCACCCCTGTGCGGGCAGCAGGAGCCGAACCCGGCCCCCGGCACCTGTCGGTGTCTCCCTGCCCCGCACCTACACGGCGATCTCGTCATCCAGGCTGTCGCCCAGCTCCTGCCTGGGCAGGACATTCAGCAGGCGCGGCAGCTCTTCCTGCGACCAGGAGTCGTGCTCCTCGCTCTCGTCGGTGTTGGACTCGTACTCGGAGGCGATGCCTGACTCTCGGAACTTGAGGAGCTCCAGGCCCCCCAGCACAGGCTCCCCCTGCGCCGGGGGCGGGGTGTCCTCGGAAGGGAGGAATCGGAAGCACTCCAGCTTCACCAAGCAGTCGCGCCTACCTAAGGGGCTGCCCACAGGGGGCGCAAAGTCAGCCAAGCCCGCGCCCAGCGGAGGCGGCGAGTGCAGGTCCTGCGGCTTAGGGGTCGTGGGGTCACAGAGCACAGGCAGGGCTCCCGAGCGGAAGGTGATCTCCAGCAAGCTGTCCTGCGAGCCCACTGCGGGGAGACAAGAGGACAGGGCGCAACTTCAGGCGGGGTTCTCTTTGGAAAGCCAACTGACTGGAGGTGCGCTGCAGTGCTCCCACCAAAACAAAAACCAAAACAAAAGCCTCTTGGCAAGGGCCCTTCCCTGCCCAAACGCACAGCAGCCCACCGGGGTTTTACACTGCACCCCACCTCCACCCCCAACCACCAGCCGCAGTCAGCAACTTCTAGACACTGGCAAAGGCAGCAAGAGAACCAAGTGATGGTTCGGAAGGGCACTGAATGCCTCGCCTAGGGTCTGTCTGTGTGGGAAAAGGATACCAGCTCAGTGCCAGCCTCTGGGAGGCTGAGGCAGGAGGTCTCGAAGTTTAAGCTCAGAGATTTAGGTCTCAACCCTGTCTGAAAATTAAAAAAACAAAAACAAACAAACAAAAGGGCTGGGGATACGGCTCAGTACAAAGTCTCTGGGTTCAATCCCCAGTCCTGAAAAAAAAGTTTTTTTGATAACCTTTTTATAAATCAGCATTAGTTAGGACAGAGCAGAATCTCAACAAACAAACCTCTGGAAAAGCCAGAGAAGCTTACAAAATGGTGAAATGGCTACCAGGCTTTGGGCCTTTTCCAGAATATAGACTCCCAGCCCTGCCCCATCCCTACTGATGAGAAATCTCTGGGCCAAGCTCAGTGATACATATTTGTTTTTTTAAGCCCATGAACTAGTTTGGGAGAACTGGTATAGCGGGAAAAACATTTGTTTTGCAGTTAGACCAGGCTGTGAATCTTGGCTCTACCCATGTGACCTTGAGCTAGATACTTAACCTCTCTGAGTCTGTTTGCTTATCTGTGAAATGGGTCTAACAGCATCTACCACTACAAGGATTAAATGCGTTCTTATGTATAAAAGTACTCTAGCACAGTTTCTGGCACTAGTGGCCAATGGATATCTGTGAGTCCAAATCGCCCTCCAAAGCCTTTACCACTCTACTTGACCCTGGGTGTTATCCATTGCCATAGACTGAGTAGGCACAGAATCCACAGTTAAGCTCAAGAAGAAGGCAGGAGATGTGCCTGCTCTCGTTGCTTTCCCAGCCCGCTTGGAGGCAGCTGGGTGCACAGGCAGCACCTCCGGCCAGGTATTGGGCAACCCCTGTCACTGACCAGCCATCTGGCTATAGTGACTCTGCTGCTTTGTCTATTAAGTGGACATACGGCTATCAGCTTTGTCTGTGTAACAGAGTCATGAGACACAGAGTACGGAGACTCCGCTTCTAAACGGTATGAGACCTCTCAACAGAGCTCACAGAGAACAGGACACCCAGTAAGTGTTCTGCATACTTTGAATGGAAAAGCCCTCCGAGAAAGACATGGGCTGCCTTAGGAGGTACAATGCCCAAGCCGCTGTCAGGTAGAGGCCGGATGGGCACGTGGCAGTGACTTCCGGGGACACTGAGGGCCAGGGCTGGGTGTGAGCTTAGACTGCAGCCAAGGTCTGCTTTGGTGCTCAGTGCTGTGATTCATGGCGTACATGGACAGGCCAGACAAAGGGCCTGTTCTCATATGGGCACGGCCAGGGGTCCGATAAAGCATCCCCAGTGCCTTGGGGAAGGAACGTGTGTTTTCCCAACATCCACACCGGGAGCGGGGAGGCTGGGCAGGGCCCCGGCTTACTAGCGTTCTGTCCTGACAGCTTCAGCTCCAGCTCCTGAACCTGCTTGACCAGCAGGGAGATGTGCTGGAGCATGTCCTTGTTCTGCAGCAGGAGCTGGTGCACACGAGCCTGGGCCTCCAGCCGTGCCGCAGCCTCAGCAGCCAACTGGTCCTTCAGCAGGTGAACCTGCAGAGAAGAGAAGGCCGGGAGGAGAGCGGGGAGACAGGACAGACAGGAGAGAGGGACATGAATGCAAATGAGGACTGCTGTGCAGGGTCGGGACCAGAGATGCCCTGTCCATTCCACTCGAGATGAAGACCTGCACAGGCAAAGTGGACATCTGGGCTTGAGGCTCTGCAGCAAGAGCCAGAGGAGCTGGGTCCCTGGGCCTGTGGCTCTCTCTGCATGTGGGAGGCCATGGGGTGTTGCTCAGATATCACTCTGTGTCCCACACCAAGGGCCAGAGAGAGCAAAGAGCCACCGTCCACACTCACACTGCCCTCTATCTCCACTGCAAGAACTCTGTTAGTACCCAACGCAGCACTGCTTTGTTTAGGAGGGTACTCCTGTCTCCCTTTTGCTTTTAAAAAACAAAACCTCAGAGTAGTGTCATGGTAGACCCCCACATAATCTTCCTTGCCTGTCCTGTTTCAAATATGATGAGGTATAGGAAGCATAGCTGCTCGTGGTGGTAGATAACTATAATCCCAGTGTTCTGGGAGGCTGAGGCAGGAGGATCACAAGTTCGAGTCCAGCCTGAGCAACTTAGCAAGATCCTCTCAAAATTTAAGGAAAAAAAAAAAGGACAGGGGATGTAGCTCAGTACTAATTTCTGAATGAAAGAGCTGGGTGTAATACGGCCTGTCTCATGTCTTTGGGGGCCAGTGTCTTGGCCTGGGCATCTGGTCCCTTGTTATTTTCCACGGAGGCATTTAGGGCAATGCTTTCTTCCTGGAAGAGGCCAAATGCTTGCTGAGACACTCACAGCAGGGCCGCCTCTGACATCATCAGAGACCTGAGGTAGATCATCTACAGGAAGCCCCTCATCAATTCATGACCTTCTTAGGGAAGAACAGCGGGCAAAGCATCCTGAGCAGGCTCCCAGCCAGTGACCTCTAACCACCTGCTCTGGGCATGTGATCCTCCTGTGAGACAGAATTCATGGGAGGGGATGGGGCAATAGTGGTACTTTGATTTACAAACTTAATTTTTTCCACAATTCTGGTCGAAAATTGAGTTGGTCGTGAATCAAATCAAATTCAATGGTTAGATTCAATGTTGACCTTATGGGGAAAGTTGATTCTATTTGCAACCAATTCGTTTTGTGACCGGGATCGTGGAAAGAATTCAGTTCATGAACCAAGGTACCAGTGTATATCAGGCCTCTGGCTTGAGGGAACTGAGTCACCTGACCAATAATAATGTCCACACATATATGATTCTTGTGCTAGGAGGTGAAAAAGGAGTCTGTGGAGAGGGTTTCAGGAGGTCCCTGAAGAAAGGGAACTAATAAGTTTGGGGATCTGGACCAAGGCAGTTTATGGGGCAAAGCGTTTTCTTAGACCAGAAGCATGGTGTGGACAAAGGGCACAGGGTCTGGATAGATGGGGTGTGGAGAGGAGAAGAAAGATGGTAGGAGGCAGTCACGTTCGCTGATCCTCTTGCTCAGCAATAGATGTTCTAGGTGCCTATAAATCAGTGTGCTTCACAGAGTCACCTTTTTTCAATGACCATCACCGCCGCACAGTCGTACTAAGTCTGACTGAAGCACCTAGTGGCCCGCATACCTGCCCCTCCTGGAAGCCAGTATTAGGGAAACTATACTCTTGGATGTAGTGGCTGCTTCCCCCTCTGGCCAGATTTGAGGACCTGCCCTTGCAGTTGGCTTTTCTACTAACCAAGTGGAGCCACTAATGAGATTAGCTGCCACTTTCTATTAGTGGCTCCCTAAGGGTAGGCCGATCCTTCCCCCAGGGAGATGATGCCTGAGGAATCTTAAGTAAATCTGTCCTCCAAAAAGCATTGCTAAGGACAGAACTGGCATTTTGGTCAACATTCCAGCCTCTTTTAAACCAAAGAAAGATCTGGAGAGGGCAGGGAACAGAAAAAAAAAGTGCCAATAACATTTTAATTTGGGTGTAAGGTACAGGGAGGCTTTAAACCTTTATCTTCCTTGGAAATGAAGGAATGGAGATATTTTACCAGGGAGTTCCCCAAATCCTACTGAATCAAGGAATAGGGCAGGTGCTGTGAGAAACCCCCACATGTGCCAGCAGAGGAAGGAGCCAGTCAACCCTCCATCTGCTGGTACTATTACTTATTCCAATTAAGAGTTTCATCGACAGGAATCTACTAAACAAGTAGAATTGTTAATGATTCATTTTCTATTTTCTTTGGAAACAGAAATGTCGGGCAGAAACATGGAGCCAAGTTTTCAGCGGATGTAAACAAAAAAGCAGAGAATCCTGCATACCACGGGCTGGGTGGTATGAGGGCTCCCTGCCCACATGCTATAGACTTAAGTCCCTAACCCTCAATCTAAACATCCCAACAGAACCAGACATTCAACAGCACCATGATGCAGTACCTAGGCAACTGTAGGTACGTCACTTCCCCTTGAACCTCAGCTTCCCCATCTGTCAACTCACAGGGCTGGCTAGGGGCTCAGATAGTCAGTTCCACAGACAGTTGGACCCAGCGGTCATTACTAGAGGCCACTTGCTAAAGGCCCACTGAAGAAAAGTCTCCAGTTCCCCACTGTGATATCTGAGAATTAGAGTTGAGGATGAAGGAATTTAAGTGGTTACTTCTTACAGAAGCCAGAGGAAAAAAGAAGGAAGCTTCTTTGACAGGCATCCAAGTTCCAACAATAGAATGCTATCAACATGTAAAAAGAGACCCTTGAATCAAATGTTCCCGTCACAAATCTAAGTGCCATGAGAAACTGCTCTTGAGTTTGAGTGTGCCTTGTCCCAGATTACATAAGAATTTTACCTCTGTGAATGCAGTTAGCTCATTTCAGGTGTTTTCAAACCCTGAGAACGTGGAAAGCACATCCTGTTGCCACTGCCCCAAACTGACATTAATGAGCCCTTATCTTTCTGCACCTGTCAGAAGTGGCACCAGGCATAAGACTCAAACCTCAGCTGCAGAAGGCTGTGCTACAGGAGAATCCAAACCAGGCCAAGCGGAGAGCAAACGGCCTGTACTTCTTCAAACTGTGACGTGAACTTGAAGCCCTGAAATGAGGCAGCCTTCCTCCCAGCCTTTGTCGAGGCTCGTGCTATGGGTCTCTGTGCTTTGTTTCCCATTTCATAGGACAGGGGCAGAATGTACCACCTTCCTCCCTCCCAGATGGGATCTTCATTTGTATTTAGGACACTTTTCTTTCAAAGAAACACCTTTATGAAAGGAGAGCATATTCTTTTCTGCAAAGGCACATGTTAGTGTCTCCTCTCCAGAGCTGTGTCATCTTTGGCAATGACTACTGCACTCACAGACAAAGTCAGGACACAGCACTCAGTGATCTGGCCCTGAGGCCATCCTCAGTGCTGGCGTCCATTTCTGTCTGCATTCTGGTCACAGTGCAACATGCATCAGTTCAACCCTGCGCCCTCCAGCTTTGTACCACTTCCCACAGTTCTGACACCCACCCTCCACCCACCCAGCAACATCAGACCACTCACTCTCCAGCCTACTTGCCTGGACTCCAGCTCCTCCATCAGAAGTGGGGGCAGGGCCAGGCTGAAGTTAGGGAGCAGTGGGCACATGGAAATGGCAGTGGAGAGAACCAGAGCAATTTGCCCACACACACACACCAGACATGTAAGCAGAGGCAGGCGGCATTGGCACTGTCTTGCCATGCATATGGCAGGGATACGGGTGGTGCACACCAAGGTGCTGGGGACTGGGAAAAGCCACAGGGACAGATGCTAAATCTAGGGCCTGCGGTGGGGATGTGCAGCACTGTCAGCACCGTTGCTCTAACTAGCTATCACACACACAAAGGCGAAGCATAAACAGCCAATCACTTGTTCCTAAACAAGCAGAAGTGGCAGCAGGTAGAAGGAAAATCTTTAAATAGCAATGAGTTACACTAACATTTCCCCATGAGCTAGGTCACGAATTGGCAAGTTGTGAGCAGACCTGGCCTACTTAATTGTTGCCAGCCAGCCACAATGCCCAGATCCATTTAGGAGGCATGTAGGCCCAGCCCACAGCCATGCAGGCACCAGCTCTATCCCAGCTTAGGTTCAAGGCATGGCTCAAATCTCATTCACACCCTTGAACTTCAGGTCTATCCAAAAGCAGGAAGCTTGTGCAGCCAGGCAGGCCTCATGCTGGGTTGGGAGAACAGGTCAGAAGGACTTGGTTAATTCACTATTTACACACTGAGGTTTGGTCTGGAAATACTTAAAGAGTCAGTTGAACACCTCCTTTATCTCTATACCTTTAAGGCCTGGGCAGGTCCCTTCAAGACCAGCTCTGAACAAATTTAGGTTAAGCCTGGGAGAGGTCTTGAGGGCTTAGACAAAATGCAAACACTGTGGAAGAGACTTAAGTCTGGTCCCAATGGCAAGCTCAGAACTAGACTGGCCCGTGAGAGCACACGGGGCAGGAGACATAAATAATGCAACAGGTGACCCCAAGACGACACCTATCTGCAGAAACTGGGGCTTTAACCTTAGAATTTTATTCAGGAGCAACACAGGAGATCTTGGATGCTCACAGAGAAAGGAAAGATATGCTCCCACCTGAAATGCTGAAGTCACAGTTTTACTTATTAAAATTCTAGGGACTGCTAGTAGTTTAATGAAGAAAGATAGAACTCTGCTTTTTGCTGGCAGGAGAGTCTGACAGAACAAGTACAACCTGACCTCGTACTAGAAACTGGAATCTGTACTGCTCAGGCAGAGAAACCAGACTTGCCGTAGTTGGTTTATTTCAAACCATACTTGCTGTAGTTGATTTATGTCAAAGATGCTAAGATGACCTGTTAACCACTTATATATCTTGCTTAATTGTTTTCCTCAAGGACATAGATCCTAATGAAAAAAAGCCCTTGGGTCAAATACTACAAAGAGAGTGGATGAAAGAGTTTGCAAAGAAACGTCTAATTGAAGGCTGGTTTCAGACCAAATCCACCTGCGGGCAAGCCAGCTAAGGGACGATACTCTGCCTACAAAAGCAAGACGCAGACAGAAGAGAGGCAGGGAGAGGGTGCCTGATGGGGACACAGAGAGGGGGAGAGGAGTATGTCCAAGAAGCTATCAGAAGACCTCAAGGTCATGTCTTATCTGAAGAGCCTGGAAATCCACTGCTCTATCCAAAGTCAGGACATGGATGCTCAATGGTGGCTCTTTGGTGGCCTTTCATCATGTCGCCGCTTGAACTGAGAGCCAAGCAGGGCACTGTCTGCTACATCCAACAGATTCCAAAGGAATGAGAGGCTAAGGCTGAGAGCGGCTCATAGTGCAAACCCCAGGCAGCACACTGTTCGCTTCTCCTGTACTCACTGTCTTCTAGAGAAAGGCAATTAAGGGCTGGGGATTTAGCTAAACGGCAAAAGCGCCTGCCTGGCAAGCACAAGGTCGTGAGTTCGGTTCCTGGTACTGGAGAAAAACCAAAAAATAAATAAATAAATAAATAGAGAAAGGCAATTAAAACAGGGCTGGGCTCAGCAGGCCCTCGGAAACAGATGCTTGAGTCCGTGCCAGAAAACCACTCTAGGGTTACATGCTGGCTGTGGCAGACCTGTGATAAGGTACAGGTCCTACTGCTTTGTAGACTCAGTGCTTCCTTCAACTGCCACAGCACTCTTGCGTGTTGATTACACACTTGCAAATAGTTTTTCTTAAATACTTAGTAGTGACTCCAAATCATCAGAAAGAAGGCTTTTCTGATAATGTAATATCATGAATATGCATCAAGCCTAGTCTTAGATAAATAATAATTACTTGGCAATTGATATGCCATAAGAGAAAAAGAATTATGGTTGGAGAATAGATTCTATTCAATGGGAAACTTTTGGAAATGATGTGTCTTAGTGCTGGAGCACTCCGGCTTTGTGCTCCTGTCATCCATCACGCTAGGGAAGGGAAGGGGGGACCCTCAGACTGGCATACCATCATTAGCCATAGGAAATGAATTCTTTTGACAAAGAGGACTGATTTTTTTTCTCCAAATATAAGAAGCAACTAATGATATTCCCTCCTTTCTATTACTGTCTGGGAAACATCTGCAAAGCCCCTAGAAGCACCACCACATTTCCTTTGGTTTCACAGTCAGAATTTTTTTTAAAGGCTCTAGTTCCTTGGGAACAATGTCCCACTGGTTCAACTCTTCTGAAACTGGGTGCCAAAGTCTTGCATGAGGCTGGTGTCTCAGGCCCAGTCTGGTGGAGAAGGTTACAAGAAGGCCTTTCCAAGGCCAAGTCACAGCAGATCTGGTCAGGGCATGCACCACCGTTGGAAAGGACAGTTCTGCCTGTGGGATTCACTCCTCCCTAGGAGCCAGGAAGAGTAAGGAGAGGATACAATGAAGATCACAAATACTCTGCAGGACTCTGCACCTTGAATTTTAGGATGCAGAAAACCAAGCAGCCAGTCTGGCCAAGTGGATCTAGAATGCCTGTACCTGCAGCTGCACTTCCAGTCCTCTCATCAGTTCTCCCAAATCCTGACTGCCTCATTCTCCTAATTATCTTCATCCACCCACTCAGGTGCTTAGCCTACCTGACTCTGACTTCAGGATTTAGACTTTTAAGCGCATTGGATGAATGTGTCTTCACCACTCCCAATTGTACAGGTAGAGATAAAGCCCAGATTCCTAAGTTCAAGGAAGATGTGGACTGCAGTGCCCTCCACAGAAAGCAAACAGGAGGAATCTCTACAATAGCTGGAAGGGAAATCAGCTCACCTCTCTCCTACTAAGTAGCAGTAGCCCAACAAGCCTTCAAGACACAATACCACCTTGATCTTAAGAAGTAAGCCAATTCTTCTCAATACGGCTCAAAAACTCTACCTAAATTTCTACAAACTCAATCTCATTATAATGAATTTCAAGGCTAGTAAGGCATCAAATACTGCCTGGAATAAGGAAATCACAGGTGGAGGCTTGGACACCTGCTATGGACAAGGAAGTTGAGATGCCAGGGAAGTAAGTAGTCTTTGCAAGGATGTTCGGCACAAATTTAAACTTTTGGCTGTTTTTAAAGTGGTATCTTAAAGTCTCACTTGTCCTGACTCCCAAAGCATCCTTTTCCAACTCAGACACCAGACAAACAAGGTAGGAAAGGAAGGGTGAAGTTGTGTGCATCTTTTTCCTTGGTAAGTTCATGTCATTATCCAACACATCCAGCCAAGCCAGCCAAGCCCAACTCAGAGCGGGGGATACAGGGAAAACCAAAATGTGTCTTTCCATTTCACTTGCATCCCCTATCTCTTCCCCCCAGCCCCTCCACTTCCCCAACTCCCCAAAAAGCAATGATCCAATAGCATGAGCGATTCCTTATGGCTCCCTAGATTTAAACCTGCCCTGAGCCCCTTGCTAGGGAAGGTGCGTCAAGCCCATGAAAGTGGAGCCTGTGAAGTAGGGAGGAGGCTAAGGAGAACCTGGGCCACAGCCACTTGTGTCTGCTGCTGCTGCTGCTGGAGGAGCTGCTGGAGGAGCTGCATCTGGTGGTGGGTGGACAGCGGTGTCCCAGTGCCCAAGCCCGGTGGCTTCGAGATCGAGGAGGGCAGCAGCATGTGGGGCGAGGCTGTCAGCATGGGGTCCTGAGGGTGAGGTGAGACCTAAAGGAGAAGAGAAGACAGGATGTGACACTGGGGCAGGGCCGCCTTAAGACTCTGTACTCTTCATGACACGGGCACGGGCAGAGTGAGATGGCCTACCTAGAGCACATGAGCCAGAGATGGACCGGATGGGGCTTTGGGGAGGAAGCCGTGTAGCTGCCTATGTGCAGACCCCACAGTCTGGTGTATCTGAACACCTCTGTGACTGATCTCATGTGATGGAAAGTCGGTAGCTGCTCTGATCCCATCTCTTACTCACTGCTTCCCTGTCATACCCTACTGAGAGTTCTTTGAGTCTATTTCTATAAACATATCTCTCTACCACCCCACTGTGAGAAAAAGAGGGGGCAACTCAATCTGTTCCTTCATTTTGCACCTCCTCGATGTTTCTCATGAATTGGGCACTGGAGGAAGAGGCCAGGTGAGGGGTAGCTGCCTCCTGCCCTCCTCCATCATATTGCATAGTGAAAACCACCAGGGAGGAACATTTGGACACAGAATGTTAGATGATAGCCATCTCTGGCTCCTCCTCCTGCCGGACACTTTTACTAAGGCTGCTACAAAGGCAGTGCCTATGCCAGGGTTCAATGGCAGGGTAACTTATTTCATTTCTCGTGGTTCTGTACATGATCCCTCTTCAGATATCCAAGAGGATGGCATCCAGGCACAGAGGGTCACTGTCCCTGGTCGAGGATTAACCAGGTACCCAAGAGAACATCAGCTACTATCCTCCTAACTGCCCAGACTTCTTTTGATGAGCTGGTCTGACAGCCTCCACCTGAGGCATATTCAGGGTGAGGAAAGGGCAGTGAGCTGGCTGCGAATCTAAGGGGATAGCTATTGGTCAGCAATGTTCTTTCTGGGATTTTGTGTTTAGCTGTCCTCAAGTTTAAATTTGGTCTCAGGTTCCTTGTTGTTTTTTGTGTATATATGTAAGCATGGCACTATGGATTGAACTCACACTGAGATATACCACCACCCTTAACCCCCCTACTTTTCATTTTGAAACAGGGTCATGCTAAGTTGCCCAGGCTGGGCTCAGAATTGCAGTTCTCCTGCCTCAGCCTCCCAGAGTGCTGGGACTATAGCCCTGTACTACCACACATAGCTAAATTCTTAGTTTTTAAATCTGGATCATATTAGGAACTCTGAATGCTTCACCTTGGCTGCTAGGCTGCTAGGCTGAAGCGGATGATGCCTGTCCTAAGGTAGTCTCTAGGCTTCTAGCATGCAGTGGGCCAGTTTCCAAACTCAGCAGTGTCATTACACAGTAGCATCAAAGGCACACAACCACCAGAGCACACAGAGGAGCCTAAACAGACATGGCTCTTTCAGCTAAGCCGGGGGGATTATGTGGATCATGTGCATGTGCCAGGACCAGCCCTGCACCAATACTGTGCAGAGATGCGATGCTGCTGTGCAGGGAGAAGAAAGAAATCACAGACTGGTGGGATCCTGGTAGCACAGCGCACATCAGAAATGAACCCCACAGGATCCCGACACACGGCAGTGTCTAGTGTGGCACATGGGGACCAAATCTACAGACGTCAGGCCCCTCTCAGAGGCCATGAAACACGCTCCAGCACAGCCACTGTGCTGTGGAGTGCCTGACTCTGAAGCTGAGCAGCAGGAGCTAGGAAGCAGCTCTGATGGCTTGAAGCTGAGGCTGACGGTGTGACAAGGGTCACTCTCCGAGGTAGCAGGGACACGCATGTACAGACCACCTGCACGCGCCAGCCCCTGCCTACCTTGGAGTCTGAGTGGGAGCCTCCTTCCTTCCCTACAGCATCCAGGTCGGTTACACCTCGGCTGAATTCCAGGACGTCATTCCCTGGGAGTGGGACCTCCACGGCATCAATGTCAGTCTCCTCCGCGGTGGCTGTGGAGGCCCTCTCGGCTCCAGTGAGCTGGCGGCCTGGAGGGACAACAGGGAAGGGAATAGTGACATTCAAGAGCAATGCCCTCCTTACCTAAAATTTCAATTATGTTAACCCCAGGACTTCATAGCACTTTCACACATCTTTTCATTTAACTACATTAAAGAACCTTTCCAACTCAAAAACATATTCCCACTTTAAGAGCTGTGTAAAGTGCAGAAGTAAAGGGAAACTCTTCTCAAGCCTGGCTATGTCAGCTTTGCCAGGCTAGTATGTTTCTACCCGTGAGGTGTGGGGGTTCTGGAAGGCAGGGGTATGACGGCCATCACGTCCTTCACCTCTAGAATGGAATGCAGCCCAGGGAAACCATGCTGTGTGGAAGTCAGAGACGTGGAGTCTTGCCCAGGACAGGCCCTGAATGAGCAGTCAAGGAAGGAGCAAGGCACCTCTTTCACTTGGCCCAGCTACTTGAGCTACAGTAGAGGATCAGTGTGAGGCACAGGTAGGGTTCCAAGATGGAGGAGGGAGGGCAGGGAGATCTGAGCCCCTCCTAACACAGTGTCAGCAGCCTTCAGAGCCAGGAGCAGATGCCAGAAGAGGCCTGCGGGAGCTGGGTGAGGTGAGAGAAGACAGAGATGGCTCCTTTTCCATGCTCCTTATCCGGGTATTTTACTTCCCACTTTTCTTCCTTTCCCATGTCCTTGATCACAAACATAGCATACTGCTCAATGTCAAACCAAAGTCCTGCACAGGGAGCCATGGGAACCCAGCTCTACCTGATGGTGGATAGAAACCTTCTGATCATATGAATGCACATTTCACTCTAATGAGTACTAGACAGCCATAAAGGACCAGATGCTCAATTCTCGGTCATTGTTCCTCTCTCTTTCTTGGACTCTCTACAAATACCTGATAGTTCCTGAGCATTTCACAGGAAATATTTTACTGTTCTGTGTTTAAGTTTAGGTCCATCACTCTTGTCTTCGAAACGAATTTCTTGAAAGTTTTCAGAGACCAAACACCAGCTGGAGAATAGAGCAGGCTGCCACAAACAGGAAACACAGAGAGCTGACGTCCCAGTGCGGAGTCCAGCCCAGGCAACCGGGCGTCAGTCATGTGAGCGCTTGCCTTGCAGAACAAGTGGTTCTAGGAATTCTTCCTATGCAAATTCACACCAGTCATCTGCAGGGATAAGCCTGGTATTTCAAGTCATTAGCATGCTTATTTTTCTTCCTGCCTCCTCCAAGAACTGGGAAGACAGCCTGTTGCAGAGCACAAGGCATTTAATAGAAAGGATGGCCCTGATTTGCCTGGGGGAGCAGCTCCTCTGCTCCTTCATGTGCCAGCAGGCAGGGAACACAGAACAGCCTGCACCCAGAAGCGATCTTGACAATTGATCATCGTGAGCCCAAGGGCAGAGAGGAATGATGGTGATTTTTTCAGGGATGGTTTTCAGTAGGTAGATGGTGCTGAGAATTGAGCATTTGGTCCTTTATGGCTGTCTAGTACTCATCAGAGTGAAATGTGCATTCATCTGAGCAGAAGGTTTCTAGCCACCATCAGGTAGAGCTGGGTTCCCATAGCTCCCTGTGCAGCTGGCACATGACATTGAAGATGCCCTGGCCAACCCGCTTCCCTTCAGGACTTGAGGTCAGGGTTGTGTCCCATTCATCTGTCTCCTAAGAATCTGGCTCTAAGGTGTCCATAAATACCAACAAAGGAAATAGCGTTGTGACAGGGTAGTAAAACAGGGGATTAGGCTACAGGGGGAGGCTGCCTCCCCCCAGTCTATCCCAGATCCAAATAATGAAGATTAAAAAGGTCTGCATCAAAAGCTCAGAAGCGCTGGTAGGATGAGCAAACCTCTCAGGTTCTAGCCCTATCTCTGAGGGAGCCTTAAAAACCCAAACTGCTCAGCCATTCTGTTTGTACTGGTGAACTCCAAAACCGCAAACTCTGGGACCCTTTCTGAGAAGCTTCCTGCCACCCAGCTGGTGCTTGGATGATCACATTTGGAGTCTTCTTCACTTAATGGGTGCAGATCAATATAGAGCAGATTGGTTAGAACTAGGAAAGGGAAGGTACCATAGCCTCTGCAGAGTGTGTGCCTATTTTCCAGAAGACTAGACCCAGAGGAGGGCCTCACAGCTAAAGGGCTTCTTCAGGTCCCATCAGATAAAGACGGAGATTCAGGATCCGCAACTGCCCCAGCACTCACAAGTCTGAGGGCCACAAAAAGGCCTGAAAACCCTACAAACTATAGGGAACTTATGCAATGGGGCTTTATAGCTTCCAAATTATGACCAAGAGGGGTACAGCCAGGATTGGGAGAGGGGGTTAACCATGCTGCTTTCTGAACTGCTTATTTCAACTATTTCTACTGGTACATGAAACAGTAACTAGAAGCCTTTAGACAAATGTTTATTTTGTTCCTTTATTCAATAAGCATTTATTAAGGACACTGAACATAAATATTAATAAGCAAAATCTGTGTTTTTAGTGCTTTTCAGCCTTGTGCGGGAAACACATGTAACCCACAGCTGTGGCCTGTGGGTATATTACCTACCAAAGAGATAGCTAAGATGCAAGACAACAGAGAAACACCTAACAGGTGGGGGCTCATGGGGCTGTGCAGAGGAGAAACAGCTCCTGAAGGAGGTTCACCAGCTAAGGCAGGTGATGCAGCGGGTGTGGGGCAGGGAGGGGACGGGAGGCATTCCAGGCAGAGGGCAAGGCAGGTGCAAAGGAAAAGTGGCACATAGGGGCCAGGGATATAGCTCAGTGGCACAGCACCCGCCTGATGAGTGCAAGGTCTTGAGTTTGATTTCTGGTACCAAAAACAAAAAAAAGAAAGAAAAAAGAAAAAGTGGTACAAAAACCCATGGTAGGTCATAGGCACCACCAACAGTTCCACAGGGAAGAACTTGACCAAGAAGAGTCAGGACAGATTGAAAGCAGAGAGCATCAAAAGATTTTTACTCTAAAATTTCACTCTACAGATGCTGCAGATGATAGACCCAAAAAGAATAAGACCCTGTAACACTCCATGGGAGACCTATGAGAGGTAGCAGTGAAACAGAAGAGAGAAGACAGATTTGAGAGATCCTTGGGTGTCAGAAATCACAGGGATAGCAAAGCAATCGTCTGTGGTCTGAGGGTGTTGTGTGGGATGAGTTTTCAAATTTCTGATTTAGGTGTCTTGGTGGAAACTGGCATCCTACAGGAAGAATCCAGTGGGAGTAGGATTGTAAGTAAGAGGAGGAGTGCAAGTTTTAAACCTGCTGAAATTGTGAGAGTGCATTGTAAGAGTCAAAAGGAAATACTATCACATCGCTGGCTATGTGTTATGGACTGCATGTTTGTATCCACTCAAATTTCATATATTGAAGACTTAACTCCTTATGTGATGGTATTTGGATATGGGGCCTTTGGGAGGTAATTAGATCACCAGAGTGAAGCCCACATGATGGGATTGGTGCCCTTATAAGAAGAGACATGAAGAGATCTTCCTCTATAGCACGAGAAACACAGGAGATAGCAGCTGTGTGTATGCCAGGAGACACCTGCACTAGGAAGTGAATGGACTTGTCAGCCTCCAAGGCTGAGAAATAAAAGTCTGTTTCTTAAGTCATACAGGGTGTTGTATAACTGTCATAAAAAGTACAGGAATAAAAATTCAGGAAAAGGTCTGGCCTGGAGACAGATATTTGTAAAAATCATGGGAGTCAGAAGAGAACCCAGGGACCAAGTCCAGGAAAGGCAGAAGAGGAGCCTGCTGAAAGGCAGCTAGCAGAGAACAAAGGGAACGACTATGTGGGGAGGATCCCCAGAGACTGTGAAAGATGAACACCCCATTTCGAGGGGTGGTTCCTATAGACAAAGGCTGACACTTTCCTAATGTTGCCTGGGAATTTCAGGAAGAGTTGGCAGGGCAAAAAATGGCAGATCACTGGGAGCTAAAGAACTAATGGCAGGAGCAGAGTGAAAATAAGGAGGCAGGCATTGAACATAGTTAAATTTACATGAAGTGTGGCCATCAAAGAAAGGAGAGGAATAATATCATACGCTAGAGAGAGAGACACCGGGACAAGCAAGGTTTGCGTTTTGTTGTTTTTAATATGAAAATATGACTTAACCTTATTTATCTGCAGCAGAAGGAAAAATCAGGCCCAGTAGAAGATTCGGGAGCATGAGATACCTCAAGGGTTGGGAAGGAGTGAGATTGGCAGAGCGCAAATGCAGATGAAAGGGTCAGCCTTGGACTGGAGGCTGTCATTCACTGAGAAGGAAGCTGGGGACAAGAAGGACTGCTGAAAGGCAAAGTAGTCCGTGCCAAGTCCGGGGGTCACAAATGTGTTGACAGAACAATGCGCGGATGGGAGTTTTCTGCAGTGCTGTTCAGTGTTACAAGGTTACCACAAATAGTTTCTACTGGGTAAATGCAGAATTTTGGTTTGCACAGGTGCTGCTATGGAGAGAAAGGGTTAACAGCTCAGTCCAAAAGTGCTTGACACAGCTATACTTTGCCTCAAAACTGCATCAGTAACCAGTTAAACTTAAGTGGAGCTTACTTTGTTCTGGATGTACTAACTCACTTATCATGACCATGCTAAGAAGTAGGTACTAACACTGTCCCTGTGTGACCGATAAAGAAACTAAGCCACATAGTGGGTGAGACCAGAGGGGGCTTGAAGCCTGGAATTCTGGCTCCAGGGTTGGTGCCTTTAACCTTGAACCTATTCTGCCTTCCACGCTTAGTCCCGCCTACCCTTACTTAACCTGCTTTATTTTCCTCACTGGCTTTTACACTGTCCAGCGTGATCTTGCTTATCTGTACCTCAGTGGCATCCTGCATCCCCCGCTTTCAATGTGACCTCCTTATTGTCTTAGTATTTGAATTGATCCCAGCACCTCGCAAGGACTTGATAAACATCTGTTGAATGAAGTAAGTGACTAAAATGAAGGCGATGAAAAATGGGGACCGGGCAGCAGTGACCTGAGGAGATGCCAGAGTAGTTGCAAGGGAACAGGAATACCT